AAAATGCAAAAATGATTCTGTTTTGCTACTCCTTTGATGCTTCCAAAATTCAGTCTCACATTAACAACAAGAAGTCAGAGACTTCAAAAATTTTTTTAAAGTTACTTTGGAAGATAGGGATTTAGGCAGACAAAATGCCCATTTCCAAATAACAAATACTTAGCATTATTTTTCCTTTAATTTCAAATGGAAGAGTCCTCAATTATAATTGATTTTTAAGTTGGTTTTAGAAGTACATGATTTAGGAGGAAATATTTTTGAATTTCAGACTGTAGCAAAAATTTTGACTCAATTTCAAATCAATAGTTTGTAACATTTAAAATAAATGGCTTGGGTTGGTGATGTAACTCAGAAGTAAAGGGATTGCTGAGAATGTGCGAGGCCCTGGGTTCAATCCCCAACCCTGTCATGATGATGATGATGATGAATGGCTTGAGGACTATTATAATGCATAATTAAGAAACATTTTGTGCATATGTGTGTGTGCTGTGCTGTGATTCCTCACTATTTTTTGCCAATCCTCAATTCTGACAAATTAAGAACAGAAGTAAAAAAATCTTATAAATAGGATCTTGTTTTATGTGTGCACCATGGTTTATTTATTTAAACTTTTCATAATTTAAGTCCATTTATGTTGCTGCCATACTTTTCCAACTATAAACAAGATACAATAAATATCCTTGTAGTATATCATTATTTATCATCATCTGTCATCTCTATTCACACACACGTATATGAAATGCACACACACATTATGTGTCACCTTATTCTACATTACAAGAAGTGGAATTACTAGGTCAAAGTTGTTTATTTTCAATTAAAAATCTGTCTACTTTGTCTTTCATTGATTTCAATCAATACTTTTCCCACTAATAAAAATATAAAGAAGCTCTTTTGTTCTTATTAAAAGACTGGATTGTCAAGCCTTATTCTCCCAGCTCTTGGGTCATTGGGTCAAATACTATTTCTTTAAATATGAATATTCATGAGAAAATTTTCTTAAGTTCAAAAGCTATTTATACTCCTTTCTCTGTTCTTCTGGCTCTGTGTCCATATCTTCCCAGGAAGTAAGACAGACTTTTCAGTAGAGGTTTTGGTTCCTTTTTAATTTCCTTTTCTTTTTTTTTTAATGTTTATTTTTTAGTTGTAGTTGGACACAAAGGTATTGTATCTTTATTTATTTATTTTTATATGGTGCTGAGGATCTACCCCAGGGGCTCACATGTGCTAGGCTAGCACTCTACCACTGAACCACAACCCCAGCCCCTCATTTCCTTTTCTTAGCAAACTTGTAAGATATGGAGTCTGTGATCATTGTCAGTGGAAGGTGCTGCTTCTACTTTCCTACCAGTGGGCTGTTCCTACACAAGACATTTTAGCCTAAGTGAGATAGTGTACCAATTTATTGCTACATCTGCTTTGATTATGAACCCATAATTACACTTGAAGATTTCTGACTAGGAATTGTTGATTTTTGAAAGCCAATATGGTATCTATTCTGAGGGAACTGTATCAAAGTCTTCTTTAGCTTTTATTGCTGAACAAATGTTGCTTTAATCTTTTTGCAACATACATTTATGTCAGAATGACTACCAGACACAGCCTTAGTCTATCATTTTGCATTTATGATAAGATACATTTTGATTTCATTTTCCTATGATTCCTACATATAGACATTATAATTCATGAGCATAGCCAAATGAATTTTAAAGGTCTTTTATACAAGTATCAGATCAAAGTCCTGTCTACTATGCCCTTCTACATGCAGGATACTGCTTTCTTGATTTAACTTTATCAGCTATTTTCCTCATAGAGAGCAAGGTAATGATATCAGAGGAAAGTCTTGTAACCCTTTGGCAAATATATAGTAAAAAGAATTAACCATTAGAAGAAAGAAAAAAAGAAAGAGAAAAAACCCTAGCAGACAAATACTATAACTGAGTAAACCTTTTATAAATTGTGAAAAGGTATAGTCATCAGCTGTCAATGCAGCAGCTGGAGGGTCATGGGAATGTGATTGGCAGGTTTTCACTCTATCTACTGTTTATGGAAGACTGGGACATAAGCCTTTCCTTTCCCTTAAGATGCATGCTTTCTCCTTTATATTACTTTCTGTACTTATTGGTTGACTCTGATTTTGAAATTGACTTTACTTTGTGAGGAAATCAAGACATTGTTTTCTACAAGGAATAAATTTTAAATGCTCTATTAATGTGTTCACATGTTTGATGAATGCTCCCTCTATTGCTCCAAAGCAAATTATTGGAATTATTGTCACTATATTTTGGTTTTTTTTTCTGTCTTATTCAGGCTCTGAAGCAAATAGAGTATAATTTGATTATTATTGACATCACAAAATTAATTTAAGACTGAATAGTATAATCAGACTGCTTTTTTATTCTGGAACAAAATCTTTTTTAAAAAAATTTCAATTGCCCCTTTCCTCCTTTTCCAGTATTTGAAGTCCCATGAACCTTCTCCTGGTTGAATTAACCATGCAATTCAATTTAAATGGAGAAAAAATGACAATAGAATTTTGTCTTTGACCGACCTTGTTTTCATTATGGTTTTGCAAATGTCATTGCCCCACATCTTACTGGAATATCCTCAGATGTCACTTCTCTGAGAAGGCAGTCTCAGTTACTTTTGTTTTTTAATTTCCTAGCTGTTCTGCTATCATTCTGTTCATGTCACAACATATTGTCTTTGGAGGTGGGAAGTGTTTAGGTTAACAAATGAAAATAAAACTTATTCACAGCAGTGGGGGACTAACAACTTTAAGCTTTGGATGAATTTGGTCTCTTAACCACAGGGCCTCTCTTACTGATCTGCTATTTACCTGTAGCTACTCTTTGTCCATAAACTTTGCTGGTCACTGATTCATTTGCTCAATCATTCATCTTATAAGGATTCCTTAATACATTATTCTTCTATGTGCTGAGCATCATTCCAGACAAAGAACAAAACAGAGAAATATCTATCTTCTTCCATGTGTGGGAGGGGGAACGTAAAAGCAACAATAACCAAAAAACTAAGAAGATACAAGGGAAGGTGCTGAAAAGAAAGACTCAAGAAAGGAGGAGGATGGGGAGTGACAACAATAGTCAAAGAAGGCTTCTCAGGTTCAATACACCTGAATGCACGCCAAGAGGCATCTGGGCAGAGATTTATAAGAAGTGAGGGAGAGGCCAGCCCAATATGGAGGGAAGAGCTCCAGAAAGAGGTGATGATAAGGACGGAGCTCTGAGGAAAGTGTTCTTTTAACAGGAGATTGGGACCCAGCCTCATCACTTCCACTTAACACTATGCTAATGGTTAACATGAGCAAGGGGTGAGTGTGCACAGGAATGAGATAGAACATAGACAGAAAGCTCACTCTCACTGCAGGGATGGTGAGAAGACAGAGACCATTGCAAGAGCACTTTGTTCATGATACAAAGAAAAAAAAATGTTGGAAAATATAAATCAGAAAATTTTTTCTTTAATGAAAAATTAACATTTATTTGGTGGCCTAAAATTAACATTCATATATGGCATCACTAGAATTGCCATTTAAAAATTACATTTAGTAGAAAATTGAATCCAATTGCCAACATATATACCAGAAGATGAAAAGTGACTTAAATTTGCTGGGAGTGATGGAAATGAAAACCATGAGGGGAGTTGATTGATGTTTGGCTTAACCTGGATTGAGATTTTTTTTTTCATAATTCAAACTGTGGCCAGAAAGCTATGGAATCTGCCTTAGGAGTTGCCAAGAGAAGGACATTTTACAATATTTGAGAATAGCAAAGCAGGGGGAAAAAATAAGCTCTTCTTAATTGCATCTACTAAATTTGGCCCATTTTGCTCTCTCCATCCACCTTGCTTCCCACCACCATCATGTTTTTAAGATTATATGATCAAAGAGGGAAATATGGCAGATCCACATCAGATTATTAACTTGAGTTACCTTGGCATCGAACTGCTATGGAGGAAGGTGGAAAGGAAGTGACCTGAGAAAAACAAAAATCATTACACTATCAGAAAGCCTGATTGCATTTATGCATTTTTGTATGTACTTTTTCAGAGTAGTTGACACTGATGAGAGAGGTAAATAGAAGTGTGTGTTTGCTGTTCTTTGTAATAAATTCAGAGTTTAATAAAAAGAATCATGAGGGACACAGAAGAAACAAATGTAGAATGTAAAGTAGTCATGTTTGTATTTGTGTTTAAAGACATCCATTGGAGTTGCAAAATAAAAAAAAAAAATGAAGTAAGTCATGAGACTCTGAATGCCAAGATAGAAAGAAATATCTGATATATTTTTTAAAAACTTTTATCTAGATTCAATTGTAATGAACAGCAGAGAAAATGAGACCAAAAATTACTTTATTTGGGTGGGGAGCTGGGGATCAAACCCAGGGCCTTGCACGAGCAAGGCAAGTAATCTACCATTGAGCTTCAATGCCAACCCCTCACCCACCATTTTTTCATCAGGTATAGGAGGCTAGCTGCAGGTTTTGAGTGGTTCATGTATGATGAGATTAAAGGGTTCTCCGTTTAGTTGTATCCTAGCAAATGGCTACTTCAGAAAATGTTTTAACTATAAATTTCCCTGGCAGTGATTTGTCCAAGTTGTGCACTCATTTCTGAATTGGTTAGTGTGTTATTGCCTGCCTTGATTTCCATGTTTGGCCTTTGAGGGGTACACACAGCCTTAGACTGCTGAGACAGGAAGATCTGTGCTTCCTTCTAGAGTGTTCCATCATTCTTTGCTAGTGCCTTCTTTTAATTTACCGGTAACCAAGAGGTTCTTTGATCTTAATGATTAATCTTGTGGCCTCAGTTGACTTTTAAGGCAAAATTTGAATTTTTCAAACTTTCTAAATTGGAGTTGTTAAAAAAAATACTCGGGAAAGGGTAATATCAGTAGTAATGTGATTTGGATATTCACTGAAAAAAATATTCCACCCACATTTATGAAGCAAATTAAAACACAGACACACATAATCACATGATTAGAATGAAAATGACTTCCATGTTTATGTTTTCAGCAATATAGTTATTTACAAATAATCCATATGAAAATGTAAAAAAATCATATTACATCTTCACATGCCATTCTGTATTAACTGAATAAAGCTTAGTGACATTGTTTATTTGCAAATCTGTAGTTAATTGTACATAGACATTTTGTGCGTTATAAAAGAAATGTACATAATTTAAAATAAATTACACAATTTACAAAGTAATATTAACAAAGAACTCATAGACAGCTGCCTCCTTATTTAAACAAAATAAATACTCAGGTAGTTAAATTAACAAAAAATACACATTTAGGGGATTATAATTTATAGAAAGATCATAAATTTACTAAAGTTGTATTTTACAATGGCAGATACTGATCTCTTCAAATTGCTATAGAAATGGGTAGGAAAAAGTACCAGAAAAGGAATCTAAATGTTTATTTTCTAAAAGTAAACACAATTAGATTCCTTAAAAGTAGTTGGGAAAAGTTTATTGAGGCTTGAAATAGGTAATCTAAAAGCTATTACTTAAAGAAAAAAAAAAAAAACCTATAGAACACAACCATAAAAAGGACACCTTGTTACATTCTAAATAGAATAGAGATTTTTGATCACTAAAATCTTAACTCCCACAAACTAAAACTCTTCATAGTCTTTCTGTTTAATGGTGTGGCTTGGCAGAAATACACAAACAAACAAACAAACAAACAACCCTGCAAAATTAACTATTCACTTAGCATTTGTTTTATTCACTTAATAAAGTAGGCATGACCATTTTTCAGTGTCCTTGCTAGATATGGAATTATCATTTCACACTGTAAAATACCCTTTTCATAAAAGAATAACCATTTGCAAGGCCCACTCTCCAGTGTCAGATGCCTGAAGTCCAGCTGCACAGCCAAGGACATCTGAGGGTAGGACCAGGTGGAACAATTATCACGAGAACAGGCAGGTGTGGTTCTCACATCTAACCTAGACCCAGGAAAACCATGCTCTGCAAGATTCCCTTAGAGTTGTTCACAGACTGCTGTCCTTTGGAACCCTCCATCTTGGAAGGGAAATAGAGCAAGAAACATGAGAAGCATGATCCTTGCATATTCAGACCCCAAACCCACCTAGGAATGGGTTCTTCTTGCTTCACAGTACTGAAAAGCATAGGCCTCCCTCACTGTCTTGTAGGGTGGGAAGTGAGCAGAGACACAGACAGAAACAGGGGGCTAAGAGGATACAGGGCACCAATAAAGCGAGGGTAAGAATTGACGGTATTTTTTTTTAATAGAAAAAGTTTTTTTTTTCTTTTGCACATCCTCCACAGCTTTCCTTGCCCTTTTCTCACTTCTTTGACCAGTGCATTCTGTTTAACCAAGATGCTCACACTCTAAGTGACACTTTGATTCCAACAGGAAGGAAATATAAGTGTTCTCTACTTTTTTTTTTTAAATAAAGTACTGAGCATGGTCAGTGGAAGGTGCTTCTGAGGGACACAGACAAGATCAGTCATTGATAAGAGAGAAATGTAGAGAGATACCAGGAAGAGAAGATCATAAAGGACCAAAGTTGGAGGAGGTAAATAAATATGTGAGAGTTGCCACTGGCTTCATGTAAGAAATGACTTCATCTTTGAATGGCCAGGAACTTTACAGGTTTCTGATTAAGTCACAATGACCATTTCCATCTATCTGGGGTGGAGGAGGAAAAACATTAAGCTTTTGATAGCGTGTCCTAAGTCACATTACATATAGAAAAATACTAACCACATCTATAAGCAAATCCAGAGTAAAGGACAATGTGTTCAAGCGCTATCGTTACTCCTTAAGCTTCTTTTCCTTCTTCTGTAAATGTGGTGTGCTGGCTGCTTTTAAAAAGTGTCTTAGGTACCTATGTTTCCAAAAGCCATTATTGGTTTTCATGGTGCCTAGCAGAGTGTTTTACATGTAATAATTCAATAAATATTTCTTATATGTAAATTGTGCTTAGTTATAAGTAATTGAGACATGCTTTTATGCGCTCCCTTTAGTAGCTTAAGCTCCACTGTAGTGTCCTCAAAAAGGCTTTGAAATTAGGATTATAGTCAATGAACTGAATGAGGTATTGATAAGTAAGCAAATCAGTCCCTTTCAAGAGAGATAAGTATGCCACTTCTACATGGTTTCTACTGAAATAGTCCAACATAATCATATAACAATATTTTTCTTTTCTTTTTTTTTAAACCAAGCAGATCTTCATGCTTATAGAACAGTATCTCTAAACCTTTTTGGGCTCAGAGCATTTTGTCAAGGCAAAAGTGTTAGTAGACAATTTACCATGTTCACCTCCTAAATTCTTAGAATGAGCACAAAGAATAAGGTTTTGATGAATTTCCAGTATTTAACTCATTATGAACTCATGCCAAAAAACAAACAAACATAAATATGATAATCTCCACTTGTTCAAACTGGCCAAATAATTATCTTCCCTTTTTTTCACGTCATAAGAGGCCATCTAGTATTAATTTATATTAACAATAAGCATCTAGTATGTTCCCTGGCATTGGTTCACATAGCACCTAATGTCTTCTACATATATAGTGCTGTGAGATGTCATCAATTTTGGGATATAATGTCTTATATTTTTATAACACTTTATAATTTTTGATCTCTTAATTCATTTATTTCTTACAACCTAGGCAGGATAATACTGATTTGTCTTTTGAATAAATTACATTTTATAATATCTTAAGTACAGCTTTTGTAGGAACAGTATTTTATTCTATTCCCCTTTTCAAAATTACTAGGTGTTGCATACATTTCATAAGACTTTTGCAATTTTTCAAGTAATTTTAATAGATTTTTTTCTCAACCATTTTGGATGAATGGAGTACATTTTACCAAAGAGATCAATTTGAGTATTATCTGGAAGCCTCCTGAGTATATATATTGACCCTCACCATTTTAGAATAACAATATTACTTCTTTCTCTTCCATTAAAAAAGATAAAATGGACTTTGTTTTTATGTTTTTCCATGGTTGAGTCCTTGGTTTAAAATAAAATTTCTTATCTTACTGACTACCTGTTATCTTTGAAATATTTCCATTGCTTAATATAGTGAATATTGGATAAAGAATGAATGCTTACAACAGTTCCTATTGCAATATGTAGAAATATTTTCATTTGGGGGACATTCTAATCTCTTTTGTAATCTTTGCAAATACTCTAGTGGACAGCAGGGGGAGATCAAAATCCACTGTATAGTATGTGAGGGGAAAATGCTTTATAATCCCAAGCACTTTTATAGCTACATGACTATGTTTAAGATGGAATAACTTGCTTACAATTTTTAAAAGACATGAAAACCTAACATTCTCCCTGATCCCAAAGGTTGTTACAGTCAATATTGCCTAAAAAACAGTGCTGCTTTTTAAGGTCACCATTCAAGCTTTCTTTTCATAAAACGGAGTTCTCCTAAGTTAGAAACTGTTCCACTGTGCAATCTCAGAGCTATATCTGTGATAAATATAACTACTTCTAGTGCAATGTAAGTTTCATGCCTGAATTTTCACCTTTGAAATTAAACACTGGTGACAGAGCATAAATGAATGAAAACTAAAGATGCAACGGAGAGTTAGACTTAAAACCATCTGGAGTGGTTGTCGGCAAACTAGAATCTGTAAATGTGGTGTGCTGGCTGCTTTTAAAAAGTGTTTTTCTGGAAAACAGCCATATTCATCCTTTTTCTTCTTTTGTGTCATCTCTGGCAACATTATACAATGTCAGAGTTGAGAAACTGCAATGAAGACCGGGCTGAAAATAATTACTGTCTGATCCTTTATAGAAAAGGGTTGCCGCCCTTGGTCTAGATTTTTAATATATATATTTTTTAAAGTTTAGGTTTTGAAATTCTACAATAAAAGACTGGTTCAAATTTTACTAGTAAGAAAGACAAAAGACTATGGATTTTGACATACTGCCTACAAGACAGTCCTTCACTCTGAAACCGAGAGAGCAAATCAGGGAGAAAGAAAAATCAACACATACTTTTGATTTCTTTTAGTTACAAAAATCATTGATGATATTACCTTCTTCTCCATCTTCCTGAAATTAAAAAGACAAGCAGTTTCTTTTTTTCTTTTCTTTTCTTTTCTTTTTGTAACAAAGATAACAAATATAAAAATCTAGTCATAAAGAGCCTTCAAAGAACAATTACAAACCAACTAGAGGGATCCACCTTTTGGGGGGTTAAGGGGCTTAAGATACCACTATGTTGTCAGTTTTACAATGGCTGCAGAGCCAAGGAACAGTGTATACAGCAGGTAACCGCTGAATCCATCCTGTTGCCATCCAAACTGAACTTTACTCTCTTCAGGATACAAGAACTTGCAGAAGTCTCCATGACACTCTTGGCAAAGATGTCTTCATCCCATATGAAAAGAGGCAGTTTCTATGGCATATTGGTTAAGTAAGTGTCTATCATGCTGCACTAATATAGTGCAAAAATGTGCCTTCCATAAGCAAAAAAGATGCAGGCAACCAGTTTGAAAATCAGGGAAAGTAGAAATGTATCAACACAAGCAATTTAGCTTTCCAGACAATAACCACTATAAAATACTGAACTTGAGGACTCTTTCTTCTAAGATACTAGTACATGTCCAGCATTCGTACATTGGAGAGAGCCAAGAGTGAGTCTTATAAAAGAGTCTCTGTCTCTGAAATGCAGGTCAATAAAAGCAACCATCAAACCAGGAAGATGCTGAACTTATTCAATGGATTTTCTGTTTAGCTTGGAACTTTTCTCTTCTTCACTGTTAAAGTTGCTTATTGACAAGTAAATAATATGACATTACAATGTGTGTCAATCAATTGAGTATATATGTTGTTATGCTTTACTGTAGTATTGTAGAGGTCTTGTTACAAACTCTTCATGCTAGAATGTTCTGTGGGCTATCATTGCAAACAGCCTTGTGTCAGGCATCCAATGGCCAATTTTACCACTATATTTTAGAAATGAAAGTGGTTTTTCAATTGGTAGATTTCAGAAAAGATGACATAAAAGATGACAAACTTCTAGAATTCTGAATGTTGTTGGCTTATATGTTAGTGGTGCTATCTTGAATAGCTCAGTGGCAGCATGATTTTCATTTTCATTTTCTTTTATTTTAAGTTAAATTGAATTATAATCCACAGAGTTTGGATAATGTTGCTGCAGCCTCTGGATATCTACAACAAGGTCAGAAAGCCAAAACTGGTTGTTGCCAGGAAAGTTAAGTGTTACATGTCTGCATCTCCATCATAAGCTAAGGTTAAAGGTTTCAGTCGGTTGTTTTGCCTTCTTTGGGGTTTCTTTGGCTTTTTGCTGTAAGAAATTCATTAAAATTGGGAGAAAGAAAATATCAGTCTTCAATTGTAATTTTTATCATCTTATATTTTAAAAATAAGCAAAATGAATTGATCAACCTAAATTGCCCACTTTCCTGCCATACTAAATTCAACCTTAGAATTTGGCGTTCTGGTCTCTAAATTTCACAGTTTTGTGTTTTGGAAAAAATGTTAAATAAGTTTCAAGTATTTTACTATCCTCTAAAAGACAAATTATCCTTGTGTCCTTTAGTACAAACAACAGAAGCAAGATTATAGTATAATCATCTGTACTTGGCCACAAAACTTTATAAATAATGTACAATTTATAAATGATACATGTTTGCCAAGATGATTGAATAAGATTATGTATTACCATAACATCTTTCTCCAGTAGTAATTCAATATAAAAATGTATAATTCACCACAGTCCATATAAAGCATCTTTCTTGGTATACTTACAAGGTAGCAAACTTGAAAAGATGATCTAAAACAATTCTGATTTATCTCAAGAGACTTACATGGCCCAGATTTTTTTAGATTTTTAAGACTAAAGTCTTATTTATTTAGAATTTTATGTGAACAGTGAATAAATACAGTATACTTATTTCAGGCATTAGTTTTTTTTCCAGAGTTATAGGCAACTGAAAGTGTTTTCTTTGAAATAGAGACATTAAATTTTTAAACATTTAAACACTCACCAAGCTAGATAAATCATGGAGACAATAAAGATGAGTAACACAAATGCCCCAGCGGCTACACCGTAAACCCAGGTCCTTAGTCTCCCATCTAAGAGGAATGGATATTAGGCATTAATTTACATTGGTCTGGAATACATATGACAGTCTTTAACTATGACCAATGACCAATCACATATGACCAATTCAAAACTCAAAATGAATTAGTGCTTCAGCACAGTTATTGATTATTGTAAATCTGTATTATGAGTTAGATGCTGCTTTGTTAAAGATAAATTAGCAATGAAATTGAATTGAAAAGTAGCAAATAGTATTTGTATTCAGATGTAAGGTTTATATGTCTAAACTTCTGCTGCTTTTTAGCTGACTTTTACTTCAGATTCAATGTATGTGCTATTTACATAGACACTGTCTTATGATTTCCTACGAATTTTGAGAATGACACTTATAAGAAAAGATTAAAAGTCGTCCAATTTTAAGAAAGTTCCACAATCTACAGTTGATACACACAGGTATTTGAACACTAACTCTGTCATTTTAATGTTTTAGTTACAGATGAAAGTGAATATATTTAACATTTTTTTGTGATTAATTATCTGTCTTGTCTGCATCTACAGTATGTTTTAAAATTGATTTGACAAATATCATTTGCAAAGAATCCATTTTGAATAACCTAAAAGTATTTCTAAATTTTACTGCTTCCTTTTCTATTATATGGAATTAGGCATGACAGGATCTTTTCTAATTTGTTTTTCTGGTCGTATTCTCTTTGAACTTCTCAGTTCTATGCTGTGAATAAACTTCAAACACAAGATGCTATTAATGATGTTGCCTAACTTAATTTGATCCCAACATCAACGTATTTTCTGTTGCATGTGTATAATTAAATATATGATATTAATGTTAAAATTATAGATTGGGCAAATTGACCCCATGGAGACTCTAGTTTATTCAATAGTTGTAAGGCTTCAGAAGCAAATGCATAATGTACAATGTTTCTGGCCTGGAGCTGGACCAACTTAGAGGGTCATTTGCAGAAAAAAAATCCCAATTAATATTCTAAATATTGTTTCGTTTCAATCCTAAAGATTTTTCAAAAAAAAAAAAAATTTCAGCTGAGTATAGAATCAAAAGAGCATTTCCACTATTGGGTTCCTCTGCCCTGAAAATTTTTCAACAAGTATTTGGGTTTTTCATAAAGCAAAGAATTTCTGCTACTTTTCAAGATATGCACCTTTTAAATATATTAAAATTCTTATTTTTTTGGGAAATGATATATTAAATTTAAAATAATTACAGTAATATTCTTTAATATTTATTAATATTTTCCCTTTTTAAAAGCGTGGTTTTAATGTGAGAAGATTCACTTGAAAGTCAAGATTACTTATGGCCATCTGCTAGTGCACATCATGAACACTGAGAGAAGAGTTTACTAAACTTACACAGACAAGTCAGTTTTGCAAAATAAGCTGTATTTTTGGCTAAAAACCTAATTTAAACAGGAATAGTGTAGATAAAATTAATCACAAATATTTAAAATACTTTAATACTAATTCTTCAATAGGAGAAGGTATTTTGACTTAACTGATTAGAAACAGCTACGCAAATTCCTTTCTTCCTTTTCTCATGTTCCTAATGGAGCTATAAAGTAGACTATGCCTGGCTGTGCCTGGAGATTTCCTTTAGTTATGAACTAGTGATACCTTTAGGTTGTGAGAAAAAGTGGCCTGATCTTAATATAACGCTTGTGGGACATTTTCAAGCACCAGGTTAGTTCCAGGGATGAGTGTGTGATTGAATCCAAACGGGGAAAGAAAATGTGCAGAGTAGGAGGAGTAGCACTTTATACCACTTCAGCAGGCCTTCAAGCTTTTACCTGTGTAGGCTTCAAGTCCATTAAGAGAGATGTTAAGAGCTATCTATTTAATATGAAAATGGTCTGGTCAGTCATAAAGAAAGGAAGGCTCCACCCCTACTCCGGTGTATCTGGTGCTAGTACAGATTCTGAGATTTTTGAATATGACAACTTTTAGGGCTGATATAAATTGTTGGCTACCAAGTGCCCCTGGCAGAAGACTGCATTACTCAAGTTCCTAGTTAAGGTCCTAAGTATTAATTCTTTGTGATCAAATAGAAAATTCTCAAATGTCTATATACTATTATTTGTCACAATTCTGAATGACAGTATACTTTTTCCTAATTCATATTTTCATCACTGTATCTCAGTATACAACTAATTATACTTGTAACTTCAGGACTAGGATTGAAATGAGTAATATCAATCCTAAAATTTTTCTCAGAAGAAAGTAATTTCATTTCTGTAAACTTTGGGCATAAGTGGCTTCACATATAATAAAATAAAAAGATAAGTGACTAGATGGTCATATCAGAATAAATAAAATGAATATCAGAATAAATGAAATAATAATAGCTCATGTTTAGATGAAACAATAATAACTCATGTGAAAATATTTGCTTATTAAAAAAAAATCTCTTGCCACTGGCTAAATGTCTAAATAAAATATTCTGAATCATCACTGTCTACTCATTTCACCTGGCCCAAATGGCTGCAGAAACCAGGTCCTGCCCCGTCCTGCTGGGTTACTGGAGGGCTGGGTTGGATGTACTGCCCGACTGGTTTTCACATCTCCTCTCTTGTCCTCCATGGTGGGTATCACCACCACAGGGATAAGTGTGCATTGCTCGAGTGTGCTGTTAGAAGACATGACCTCAGTGTACCCCTCTTCACAGCGGCATGCCTTTGTCTGCAGGAGAACAAGAAGAGTTCTACTAGGCATGCAAGAGAATCTTTGAAAGCACAACAAACTGTACTTGGAGAATTTCAAAGAAGGATTGTTTGAGAGATTTCACAATGTAATTTCTGTCTTAACTACATTTAAACATCTCTACTTTTGGGGTTTAAATAAAGTTATTCTAAAAGTAGGCACATTCAGAATTATTTACATTGCTTTAAAAAAGCGGTCTAAAAATAGAATTTTTGTATCTTAAGACATGTTTTGGGGAGGAACTACATAGAAGGGTGATAAAGGATGGAGGCAACTTGTGCATCTTCATGAATTCACACATACCTCACTGCAGTATGAATGAGGCTGAGTGCACGGGGGGTTACAAGACCTATCAGCATCAGGCTGGCTCACCACCAAGCAGCCCCCTGCAGGACCAAAAATCATATTTTAGCAAATAGCATTTCTTGCTAAGATAAAAAAAAAATACTGTTGTTATAGACTTGTCTTTGAATTTTGAACCATTTGGGAATACCTAGGATTTTTCTCTCCATGAAATATTGGGTTGATCTTTATCACTTTATTTAACAACTTGAAGCCCTTTTTACTCACTCTGGGAGGACAGGGTCTGGCACTTAGTAGCTATTCAATATGTTTGTCAAAAAGATGATTTTATAGCTGCTCTCTTGAAAATACTAGTGGCACACAACCTCCTTCTGTCAATAGTTCCTGAAGCCAAGCTCAACAATTGAAAAGCAAATTTAATTTTCTTTTAAAGTTCAAATTCTTTCTTGGCTATTTGAAATAATATTTTTAAGTCCCTTGAAATAACTCTTTAAATTATGTGACTACCACATAAATGTATTTTTGATAATGCATATTTCATTTTGAGAAAAATCATTACTTCTCTTATTGTAGGGTATGGGGGGCATCTTTATGTGTATTATTTCCTTAACTTGATATTGTACCAATTTACTCTTCTTTGTTTTCTAGCACAGTACCAACTGTGCCTGTTGTGATGTATTAAAGATGGGAATAGATGTATGAAGTAAATAATAATTGGTCAACAGGAAGGAACCCATAGTTTTAAATTATATTTGTTCATTTTAATAGAATTTTAGCCAAGCAAATTTTTCTTTATTTATGGAATTGATGACCCTCTGGATTTAATCAAAGGTGTCTATTGTTAATGCTTTGTCTTTCTGCATTACAAATACAAAATATTCATGGAAAAATTGTTATGAACACACAGTTAGCAATTGCAAGGCAATTGGAGTTAAGTGGCCATATAAGTTATTATCATTAAACACATGAAGAAAAGGAAAGAAGTATCTCAAGTTTTTATAGGGACAATTTATAAATTAAAGCAATTGACCCAGATAGGTAATGTACTTTACAGGCTTGTATAGCTCTCATAAAGAATCTTATCTCTCCTAAAAGATGGAAGAAGAATGTACATAGAGTTTATCACAAATTATTTGCACTTTGGCTTTTTGGTACTGGACTGCATTAGAAAAAAAAAAGAAATACATTGGACACTATTGCATTGAAAAGAAATTAAAATATGATTTCTATAAAAAAGACTTTAAAGGTTGACTTTACTCTGCTTTGGGGAAATAGTCCCAAATGCAGTGGGAAAAGAGCTTCTTACATATAATAAAAGGGTAGACAAATATTTGCATCCATATTGGAAAAAATGCAAACTAACAGGACCCTCTGGCGAAGATGTTAAATTCCCTTAGAATAGTTTGAAGAAGAATGTAGACCTTAATTTCCAATCTCTGAGTTGAGTGGGTGACCTTTGTACACTTTCTGGTTCAGAAAGCCTATGCTCCCCTATCTAGTGCTCTTTTCATCGTACCCTTCTTCTAATGGGGTTTGGGCAGATTTTTCTCCTCTAGAACAACCCTGTGGAAAAAGCCAAGAGTTTTCTAGTAAAGTGTCTTTTCTTTCTTATACATGTGTCCACTGGGAGATGCTATTGTCAAGGGTTTCCTGATATAGCTTTCTCATGTGGAAAATCAAGAAAGCAATTTGACATGCTGTTCTAGTTTTCACAGGGAGGAAATAAGTAATTAGGTTTCAATAAATCTGGGTAATTTAAAATTCAATATAAAATTGATGCTTTTCAAGAAGCATATTGATCCCTGCTCCTATTATCTTACCATATATATTAAAGTTAAATTTATAAATGGACATTACTCTGAGGCATCCAAATGCACGAGGAGGGTCAAAACAATATAAGCCAGTTAACAGGAGCCCTGAGCAGTTTATTTTCAGTACTGCTGCTGCTATGCTATGGAGCTTCCTGTATATTAGATCTATGAAAAGAAATGGTTTAAGGAGAGACATTAGATTTTTGGGTTCACATGTCTGAGGTTGAATCTGGTTCCAAACTTCATTGTTTCTTAGGAAATTCGCAGTGTGATTCACTATGTATCTAGCACCAAAGTTTTTTTTCCCTTTTAATGGGTCCTTGGGATCCCTCAAATTTCCTGAGCTCATACAAAGAACCTTTTAGTATCTGCAGCTTAGGGTAGTTCTTTGGAGGTATACTTAGATCAAAATACAATTAAAATAATTTCTTTAGGCTTTCTTCTTTAGAAATATAATAATTTGGGGGTGGGAACACTAAAGAGGATTTTCAGATGCTCTGGGTTCCAGATTTATCAGCAGGTCTTGACTACTAATTAGTAAAAAGTTAAAAGTGACAGATATCTGAATTCAAGCAAGTATGTGGATTCGTATAATCATGCTCCCCTGATAGTATTTTTGGTCTGCATTTATATTAGCTTTAAGATGCACAAGTACAAATAGTACAAAAATGTTTTTTTTTAAGTAGTAAATTATTAATATATAAAATTCTTGTAAAATAAATCTGAAAATACTTATATAAATAATTTATTAGAATTAGATAGTATTTTAATTAAATAAGTTCTAGCAGTAATATCAAAAAGGGCTATCTATCAGTGGGAGAGAATATGAAACATCATGAAGTAAAATAATTTGTCATTGGTACCACATATGTATAGAGTTGAGGCGTACTAATCTCAGCCATGTGTTGGAAACTGAAAGATTATTCTTGTATCCTTCTTAATTTCTTTAATCAATTACATTTGTGTTATAAGAATACTTTTAAAGGCAAAGAGAAATTGGAGGTTTACCTGTTACATTTACACCGTCTGATCTTTGACACCAGACTGTTCGGGAAGAGCCCTTCCATGCACTGGCCATCCATTTATACTCATAGCACTGTCCATCTGCAGGGACACAGTAAACATTGACAGGAGTATTCTATTGCCCAGAACAATCGTGGTGACAGAGGGCTAACAAAATTTTTATGAACAGTTGAAAAGGGATAAGAAGTCCATTTCTGAAGAGTCAAATGTCAATTTATTGTCTGGAAGTTGCCCTGCAAATATTGTATCAATGTAGTTATGCACCTAAATCTCAACTAAAATTACATGCCTGCTATCATACCACTTTGTAATTTAATTTTATGGTTTGCTTTTAAAGTATCATGGAATATCAAATATACAGACAGGCATGTAAAATAACTAAAAAATATTCAGTTACCTATCATGTAATTCCAATAAATATGCCATTTAGTCAGGTTTGCTTAAGTTTTACTTTGCTTGTCAATGAATAAATGATATAAACTTGATGTCCTATTACATTCCTTCCTAATCCCATGTCTCCCTGTCTTAGCAGTGCACTCTCTTCCAAAGTATAGTTATGACTGTGGCATGCTTTTATTTTTTTCTTAAATATATATGTTCATATATATTCCCCAAAATGATATATTTTATGAAGTTTTACAATTTCTGTGTTCTATATATAATCCTAAAACTTATTGGTCAATGTTATAGATTATATAGTTCTGTGATTTTTTAATGTAAATTGGTCAACTATTTTAATTGTTATTGTAAATTCCATTGTACTAAATACTACAATTTATTCTTCTGCTTCCTCTATTAGGTTGTTTTAAATGCCTTGCTAACCTTATTCAAGTCTACTGATGCTTCTTTAAGATAATATCTAGAAGGGAAATTTATGAATATCACTGTATGGACAGCTGAAACTTTATTAAATATTGTTCATTTTTTCCTCCAAAAGGTGAACATTTATGTACCCACAGATAATAGATAATAATTACTACTGTTGCAAACAGTCACAAACAGTTATAATACTATATTTAAAAATTTTTGTTAGCCCTTACATATGAAAACATATTTTATCATTTTTAATTGAAATTTTTTTGATTACTAAGGCTACTAAATAGTTATAAAAAATTTGGGGGCATTTGGATTTCCTGTAATGGAAATTGTTTATTTATATCTTGCAGCTATTGTTATTTTTTTCATCTAGTGACATCTATGTCTTTACTTATTAAATTAAGGGAATTCTTTATTCTAAAATAGTGATTCTCAAAGTCTGGCTCAGGAACCATGGATGATATTATCTATATGATTAATAACAGAAAAGCTCTTTGAAACCCTGAACAATTTTAAGACTATAAATTCTTATGGATCCAAAAGTTTTAGAATTGCTGTCCTAGACATTAATCCTTTCAATTAATTGGCCTCAAAATATTTTTTCCTGTTTGGCTCATCCTGTTACCTTGTTTATGATCTATTTTACTATGTAGAAGATTTAAATTACAATTTAATTTTTAATCTTTTTCAATTTTGGCTGTGCTTTTAGTGTCATATTTAAAAAAACCCTTCTTGATTTTGAGTTAATAAAAATATTTTCCATATTTTCTTTAAATGTTTTGCAGCATTGATCTTTATCTTAAGGTCTAAAATTTATTTGGAATACAGTTTTTATATTATGTGTGCTAAATATAGTTTAAAAATATTTTATGGATAACAAATTCTGGCAACACTATTCACCCACTGCTTGTCCATTGACTTTCAGTCTGCCTCTTTCTTACATGTAAACATCCATTTCTGAGATTCTCTATCCTGTTCCACTAATGTGATTGTTTTATTTCTAAGCAATCACTTTGTTTAACTGTCAATGCTTTGGAGTAAACCTTGACATAAACTATGTAAGTCCCTTGATCTCCTACTTTCTCTTCTAAATAAAATTCTGTGCTCTTTTTAGTCTTTAACCTCTCCAAATTAATTTTAGGATCTATTTATTGGGTTACTCTAACAATGTGTTCAAATAGCATGGAATTTATAGGTACATTTATGTAAAATTGATGTTGTGATATTGAAATTTTTTATCCATAAAATGGTCTATTTCACCAATGTTTTAGTTCTAATTTATGCCTTTCGATCAGATTTTATAATTTTATACATATATTACATCATCTTGTTAATTTATTTCTACTTATAGTTTTACTTATATTATTAACATAATTTTTCTGGCTAAAACTTGTAACTGGGTCTTATAGATTAAAGAAAGATTAATTATTTCTATATCTATTTTTTGGGGGAGAGGGTACTGAGGTTTGAACTCAAGGGTGCTCAACCACTGAGCCACATCCCCAGTCCTATTTTGTATTTTATTTAGAGACAGGGTCTCACTGAGTTTCTTAGCACCTCACTTTTGCTGAGGCTGGCTTTGAACTCTGATCCTCCTGTGTCAGCCTCTGGATCTGCTTGGGATTACAGACATGTGCCACTGTTCCTAGCTTGTATATCTGTTTTTAAAACATATAATGTTCCTGAACTCTCTTACTTCCAAATACTTATTTATTGATAAGTAACAGACAGACATGAGTGATGGGAACAAGAGGTTAAAGTGATAATTGTATAAATTAGGCCTACTGTGCTGACCCCTACCATGTTTTCTTTTACAAAGCAATTTACCTGCTGCTCTGGGTGGCTTTAATCAATAGGATATGCTACATTCCTCACCAAACAACCTGTTATTTGCATAAGAAAAACAGGCCTCAAAGGCTTCTCCCTGTCTATATGAAGAACATGAGTTACTGTAAAGCAGGGCTGGGGGAAAAAATAAAATGTTGAGACCTTTACACAGACTACATTCCAAGACTCCAGGAGACAGAATTATTATTATTAATAATAATAATTAATTATTACTAAATTCCCTTAACCATAAAACCTATAAGAATGAGTTTCATATAGGACTGGTCAGCATGGTAGCATGAGTCAAAGTGACTCCAGAGTTACCTTGGATCCTTAGCATGCCATTATAATGGTAAAATCTCCCCTCCATGGGGTAAGACCATTCATAGTGGGAACTCAGAAGTCCTAGGTGATCTTGTCAGTCAAAAGCCAAAAGGTAGACCTGAGTAGGGCTTTCTGGAAACTTCCCTGGAAACCCAAATACGATTGGACCTGAGGGGTGCACCATCCCTCTCCTGAGAGGACCCACTCTTTCCCTTGAGTGAGTTCCCCTTTTCTCTTTTCCTATCTCTTCTCATAAACTCATGTGTGCTACTCTGAGTAACCTGTCTGAGATCTTCCTGGCATGATAGCAAGAACTAGCGATTGAGGACATCTGCAGTCACTTCTATTTACAGAATGACCTTGTTCTGCAATGTTTATAAATTACCTTGAATATGGAAAATTTTTTCTTCTAGTTCAAGTTTGGTTTAAAAGTTTTTATTATAAATTATTGAATTATATAGTTTTCCAGTAAGCATTAAAAAATAATACCCTATTTGTTTCTGTTAATGAGTAGAATTATATTAGTAGGTGTTTCTAATATTTATGTATCTTTGTATTTACAGAATTAATTATAATTTGTCATGATGTTAATTATCTATTAAATACATTATGATTTGGTTAACTAATATTTTATTTTATGATTTAGACATTTATTTTCATTGGTAGTTTATTTCATTGACTGGTTTTACTGTAAAAATTACACTATCTTAGCAGTTAGGGAAATTTTACTTGTTTTCCCCACTTGATTTGATTTTATGTACTTTAGATTTCAAATAAGAGTTAACATTCTCTATTTCTTTATATTTTGGTAAAATTTATAATTAAACCTATTAAAGTTTTAGATTGTGAGTACGTACGAGTATATATTTGATATATTTAAATTTTTAATAATTATAGATTTCATAGTGTAGCCTTTTTATTGCTCTTGATAAATTATAACATTTTAAGTTATTTTCATTTAAGTTTTACATTCATTAGCAAAAACTATTTATAGAATAAGATTTTCTAAGCTCTTTTCTATTTGCAGTAGTATAACTTTGCTTTTTTTTATCCTTATTGATTTATCCTGAGGTGATCTACTTTGTTAACTTGGTCAGAATCAAGCTATTGGATTTGTGAATTATTTTTTGTTTGTTTTGTATCTCATTATATTTGTACTTGTGTTGGTTGAATTTTATTTCCTTTTTTTTTCTTTTTAAAAATGAAACTTCTTGAGTCCAAACCTTGTGTATTTTTAGCTTTTCCTTCTCCTAGGTCAGCATTTAAGGCTGTAAGTTCTCTACGTACTTTGGTGCATCTCACATGTTTGACATATAATACCCTAAAAGTGTGGTTTTCAGGTTTTACCTTTGGTGTATATAAAGAGATTTCTTGTCCAATTATTGTGCTATTGATTTCTAATTTTATTGTACTGTAATTGGGCATAAACAATTTTTTTTTCTTGCCTTGAGAGTTGTTCAATTTATTGTAGACCCTTAGCTTGTTCTACTTCTCTATTTACCCTGTTTTAAGTAGATGAAGTATCTTATCTGATTGGTAAAATAGGAAGATTAAAGAGACAGGGTAGGTAATTTTATCTAATCCTTGGTTTATATCATCTTGCTCATTTGTTTTTCATTTTGAATGTTCTTATCCAAGAACACTTCTAAGCTTTCTCCTTCAACTTTTAATGTAACAATGATATTTTGAACCCTACTTGCTTTTTTGTTATATTTTTAAATTGTTTCAGGACACAAGTAGGAATAAAACAGTTGCTGAGCATCACATTCTCCTCTAGATTACAATTCTTTTGCTTTCATGATATTTTAATGCTTTGTGATTCTTGAATATGTCAGAATATGTCATGTATTGCCAACATGAAGTGAGTTATTCTATTTGTGTATATATAAACATACATAGACACATAAAGTAATAGGTACTTATATATTCTATGTCAAATTATATTAAAATTAACATCTGATCAACAATTTGATTTATTAATTTCTGAGAAAATAGTTACATCTCTCATTAGCTATAAATTTATAATTTTTCTTTAATTTTGTCATTTGATTTAAGTAAATGGAAAGATATTGTTGGATTCATGAATGATCATTATTATAAGTGTAAAAACAATATGTTTTGTATTATCTTAGCCTTCTTTAGCTCTAAATCTGGGAAGAATTTTTATGATATTTCACATTAATTAGGGAGACAGGATTTTTCCTTTCTCTAAATCTTTATAATTCAGAATCTTACTCTTCATTTATTTCTCAGTCTTAAGGGTAATCACAGCCAATTTTCTTACTTAAGAGAAAACTCTTTATCTTATGCTTTTGCTTATCAACACAGAACTAAAATAATTAGGCTTTATTAATTGCAGCACTTACCATCACATGATTTTGTTTCTAACATCTGCTCTGGGCACAGATGTTGATTCTCCAGTTCTTGTATAATCACTGCTCTGGATCGGACCTGTATTCCACCAAAGCCTAGGTCTTCACCATTCACACAGGTCAGCTGACACAGGCTCCATGGAGACCAGTCCTTCAAGTAACAGTCACCTGTAAAATACAGGTTTATAGTTTTCACTTACACATATAAAAAATAGCCTGCCTGATGATCATTTTTTTTATTTTTAAAAGTTTTTTAATCATTTAATTCTAACCCCACATGGCAATGTTTGTAGGTATACTAGTCATATATAATATTTATATGATGGATAAGCATCTAATAGTTGTAACTTTACATGTAATTTTGAGTTTGTATAAATATTGTCATTTTCAGAGTGACTATTATGGAACTATTTGTTGCTTAATGATATAAAATAGAAACTAGGTTTGAAGGAACTTGACCACTATGATCATCTCCTAATAGAACAAATATTTGGTTAAAACCTACCATCACTCTTGTCATTATCATTATGAAGGAGTTTATTTAAATCACTGACACATAGAACTTGGCTTCTAGGTGTTAATAATTTCAAAGGGGTGTACAGTTTATTACTGAAAACAGTCTAAGCAGTCTAAAACAGTCTATGACTATTTTATCTATACTTCTTCCCAGAGAGGTTGAGACAAGATAGCAAATTGAGCAGCTATAGCTGTGGAAATGATGTATACTCTTTCTCTGATCTACGTCTGTAATTGGTTTTACCCTCCTCTTTTTTCAAATATCTATTGAAGAACAATAAGTAATATACGCAAAATGATCAGAGATCATGAATGCACAGATAGCTGAATTTTCACAATTGATTACATATGCATGTGATCAATATTAATCAAGGAACAGAGCATTCCCAGAGTCTCAGAATGCCTGTCATGTCACGTATAAAGTCATGCCATTATGTACTATTTTCTGTGTTTGGCTTCTTTTACTCATTTGTATTTGTAAGATCAACCACATATTTATGTGGTTCTAATTTGTTTTTTTGTTTTTACTGCTATACTTTGTTCCATTATGTGCATATACCTGATTTAGATATCTATGCTACTATAGATTAGCATGTGGGGAGTCATAAATTTTTCCCATTATAAATAATGCTGTCATAAATATTTTAGTGAAAGCCTTTGATGAACACATACACATATGTATGTGTGTATATATGTGTATGTGTGTGTGTTTGTGTGTGTGTGTATGTGTGTGTGTGTGTGTATAAATGTATGTATTTCTATTGGACATATAAATAAGAGCGGAATTGCTCAGTCATAGTATCCATGTATTAAAAATCTTTTACCATTTTGGGAATAGGGAAGATTTAATAAAATATGCCTTCCTCATATTCCCATCCATTCTTCAGGATGATGGCTTGGTGATAGTCTTTAGAATGTACAGTTATTTATGACAGACACAAATCCAGAGGGGCTTCATATCACTTTAATTATTCCAGCTATAAAATATGACTACTTCATATTTCCTTATATTATACTATAGATAACTAAGATTAGAACAAAGTTACCTGGAGATCTGATTAATGGAAAAACTTCCTATGTCATGATTAAGAAATCCTAAAAATACATGAATTATTGACCAAAAGATAAATGTATTACAGAAGAGTAATTTCTTGTAGATCTTTATTAGAGAACATTATCAGTACTCCTAAAGTACAAAAAGTCAAGTAAATTTTAGAAATGCTAAGGAAAAAGAAACTAGAAACAATTTTAAAGTAGTCTAAGAACATTTTAGAAATACCCCTAGGAAATGCACATTTGGGTTCCTCGATTTTTAATTATGCAGGAAAAACTTCTAAGGTTTAAATTTTAAAAAAACCCTTTCTATAGATAAAGCATAATTTCATCTTAGAGACTGCAAACTACATGAAAATATACCTTAAGAAGATCCTCAATAAATGTTTTAACAGTAGATTGGATTATGTAATTATCATCTCCAAATAACCCATATCAAGAGCCAAATATTTAATAATAGCAGATGAGAGTGAGGCATTCTCTTCTACTGGACATACTTTTCTATTTTGAACATGGAAATTATTGATACAATAATAAAATTAAAACACACCTGCTAAAGATATGACAATGAAATGCATGAAATATATTTGCTAATTCAGTATTATACTGTTTAAATAGTTCACATAGCACTAGCTTTCAAATGCCATCTTTAGAGAAAACTAGCAAGAAAGGAATTTGAGTGAACAGATTGCAATTTATAAGAGCAGTCATCTTCTGGATTGTGATTACTTTAGTTAAAATGGTATGTTTGCTCTGTTCTATGTTATCATAGGATCCTGTAGTTTTCTTTCATATAATTTGCCACAGATTATAATCATATGTTTATTTGTGTCACTATTAGGAACTTTTTTTCCATTAGAAGGTGAGCTCTGTGAGCATGGGATTGCTTGTCTCCCCTTTATCGCAACCACAAGTCCATTCCCTGGCCTGCAATTACACCTGACGTGTAAAAGTCAAATGAGTGGTGATTGTGCTGTGGAAAGCCATGGAAATATGTGGTGAGTCTCCACAGCTTGTTGCACACCCCGGTGAAGATGCCAGTTCAGCACAATAAGGCAGATTTCACAATAATCCTCTTACGAATGCTGGACATTTTGGTTTTGGAATTGATAGGACTTCCACCTTTCAACCTTGGTCACTTTTTGTTGACTATATGGTCATCCAGCCCATGGAACTTCAAAGATTCAGTCGGTGGCCCTGCTACAGAGCCCTCACCCTCAGCCACAGCCTCAGTGTTGGTCTTCTGTGAAGCACAATGATATTATGTTTGATTGTGAGTGAGATCTTGGTTGAGATAAGGACAGCTTCAGGGACAGGAAATGGAACAGGGGAATTTCTACAAGAGCAAAAGGTATATCCAAGTGTGGGCATATCAAGAAGCAACACCTTGCCATGCTCTAGAAAGTCAGACTTTATTTAACCATTCTTAACTGTGAGAACATTTTACATGACATCTATCTTAACACAAATTTAAGGGCACCATATAGTATTGTTAACTATAGGCACAGTGTTGTACAGCAGACTGCTAGAATTTATTTATTTAGTTATTTTTTGAAAGAGAGAGAGAGAGAAAGAGAGAGAGAGAGAGAGAGAGAGAGAGAGAGAGAGAGAGAGAGAAAGAGAGAATTTTTTAATATTTATTTTTTAGTTTTCGGTGGACACAACATCTTTATTTTATTTTTAGGTGGTGCTGAGGACTGAACCCAGTGCCCCGCGCATGCCAGGTGAGCACGTTACCACTTGAGCCACATCCCCAGCCCAATTTATTTATTTTTAATAACTGAAATTTTCTGTTCATTAAATAGAAATTGCTCTTTAGATTTTGTAACTCAAACAAAATTATTATTTTATTTTCTAACCTGAAATAAATGAAAATATTTGTGTGGGCAAAGATCATTACAACAGTTGAATGACCTCAGAGTCTAATGCATAGTTCTAAGTATTGGGCTATTTCATTTTCTACCCTGTTCAGTTTTATTCAGTTAATCATATTGTGATAATAATGAGTAATATTCTACCATTATTGTCATCTCAAATAATTTACTTACTAAAAAATGAGTAAATTGAATAAATGCATGAGTATCTAACATTGTCACTGTTTCCAGTTTTTAGGAACCCCACCTCAATTAAAAAAAATTTAAAGATAAGTTTTCTTTTAAAATTACCATAATTTATCTTTTTATATAGAAAATGTTTTATGCCCAACCACTTTTTTTTTGCCAAATACTTACTTTATTTTTTTAAAGAACAATTTTTTCGTACAAATATATATTCTTATAAGAAAATCAGAAGAATAAAAAGTTTCCATTAGAGAATAAAATATAGGTAATTCATTTCTAGTCTGCTCAGAAACTGTTGCCTCAATATCTTTCCCAAAGATGGCTTTACTAGCATATTCTGACCTAAAATATCCTGAACAATTCTCTTCTGCTGAGAGCCATTGCCAAGTAGGTATGACTCATGGCATGACCCAGGTCATTTGCAGTGACATTGCATGTAAGGTGACCTTGCTCAAGGACCAGGGCGGTTCCAGGTTTAAGGTGTACCCTGCGGGGAATAGGGCATATCCTGCTGCCTCAGGCGCCCTGCTCCTTGAGTTCCTGTTGAGTTCTCACGGGATTCAGAGAGTATTTGGGATTCAGAGCCCGGTGGAGTGTGTGGATTTTGCCCTTCCCCAGAACGTGATTGTAGAGTGCCGGTGTGAGTTCGGGAATAAGGAATTGCTGTTTGAATCTACAAGGCTGTGAGTGGCTCGTGATTTTGTGCCCAGCCAGACTGCGGCACTCTTCATCAAGCCCAAATTCCTAAAGATGAGCTCATCTTGCCTTTCATTTTTTTTCTTATGCTATTCAGTATACAACTATGCTATTTGCTATACAACATTTTATATCATGCAACCATTGTCTAACATTGAATCTGAATGAAGCAATTCAATATTTTCTTCCATAATCTTATTTTGCTTTCCAGTATCAAGGAAACTGCATTTTTTTTCCTTTTGAATCCTTACTGATTCTCTATTTTTCTGCATTTTATGTTTTAACTACAGCATAAGGAGGTCTGAATTGTTGTTGATTCCACCCAGGACTCAAAATAAGCTTTCATTATGAGGATTTAAATCTTTCATTAGCCATTTTGTCTTCCAACATTGCCTCTCCCTCACTCTCTATTCTCTCCTCCTGTAAATCCCAAATAGATATGTTTAATCCTTATTTTCTCAACTTTTATTTCATGCTTTCCCTGTTAAGCATAGGCCTTAGACCTTAGTTACCATCCCCTGCTAAAACTCCACAGGGGTATTTAGAGAAGCCACATGGAAGACTGGACTTCACCCTACAATCAGGAATGAGGCATGCCCCAATTTGCCCACAGTAGCAGTGTCTGGCTCTTAGGTATTATTGAATTATACTACTGGCACATCTTATCTTATATATGCAACCCTGTCTTGACCCTCGTCCTGGAAAGAAACCATCCAAATATGAATTTTGTTCTGCTATTGTTACCTGGGCAAGGCTGGGTACAGGTTTCCTCCAGAATCATTTTTTTACTACCATCTACAATGGGTTCAATGTCAGCACAGAATTCCTCATCTACCACTTTGCCGAAGTCATCAGATGACCCATCGCTCACTACACAAGAAATGTTCCTCGTTCTGGTCCCTTCTCCACACTGGGCCTCCTGGAATGGAGAAAGAACTAATTACAAAAAGAAAAATAATTCATTAGAGAACTCATCCTTTATAGTCATCTCTGCATCATTTATTTTGATTTATGAATACTTAGAGAAGCATTTGAAACCCTAGGGAAGAAGCCTTCCAGGGCACAAGCTATAAAGCAATACTCTGAACATTTATTTTGTTTTACAGCCAAAGACAGGCAAATACATTCTCATTAAAATGAATCAGTCTCCACATGATTTTGAAAGTACAGGACAGGGAGTGTTGGTTATCAAAAGTTCTTAAATGATTATAAAATGTCAAAGTAACTAACATCATTAAGATGAAACCTGCAATCTGTAAGGTTTGAAGAATACTTCTGAAACCAAATTTCTGCAGATGAAGAATACACACTTTCATAAAATTTCTTGAGATTTTATACCTGCACTTGGCATGGGGACCACTGGCCGTATTGCCACCGATAGCAGGGCTTCACTGGGCAAGGCTTGGACTGTTCCATCAGGGAAGGGCATGGTCTTCCATCACCCTGAAAGGGCTGGGTCACTGTTCGTCTTCGGATCATTTTTCCTGTAAGAAATACAAAGCAATGCAACTTTAGTTGCATGTAGAATTGTGCAAGCATAATACTTTACTGGGAGAAGGTATCCCACAGGCTTCTCCCTGAGATCTAGGAACAAGCAAGTCTTGTATGTTTTGAAAAGAAAGACAACCAATCCAACCTTTCTGAAGATTATCTGATATGATTTAAAGCAAGAGGGACATTTTGTTTTTATATACCTTGACCACTAGTCTAATGCTAACTGCAATACCAACAAACCTGTGAGGCCACATGTTTGAGAACATTCTGACCAAGGAGACCAGTCTGAAAGCTGACAGTTCACAGGGCATTCCACCATGCAGGATGTGTTCATCTGCCAGTGCTTCTCCAGGGCAAGCTGAAAAAGAGAGGTAGATCCATTTGTACTGACACAGAGACATGGCCACAGCCTATTGTCAGTGGGGGAAGCAAGTGAGAAAGGAGAAGGAGGAGAGGAAGAGAAGGGAGAACAAGCATGCTTCATAATAGAACAACAAGATATCTGGAAGACAAATATCCAAATTATAAAAGTATAAAATGGTTCAACCCAGGAGAGTGGAAGTCAAGGATGAATGGAGGGGACCAATGACTATATTTTTTGTATTATGTATGTGAGAACATTTTCAATAGGCAATGAAGAAAAGTGCATTTAATCATAATTGGTTGAATTTTTCTAAATTAGGAACAAGTAAGTGTAAACATAATTACTTTCTATTTAAAAACCAAGAATATGATCAATATCTGGATCTATAATTATATATTCAGGATATTATTATTTATATTTTTACATGTACATGTTAAACTGAAAAGCAAAAGGAAAATACTTTAAAGATAAATTGCCATTCATAACTAATGATATAATGTATTGAGATAATATGAAATATCAGTTTGGGGACTCAGATCCCAATAGCTCAATTATAGCACATCTATCCAGCATTCTTACAGTCCTAGAGTTCAATTCCCAGTACAAAAAAAAAAAAAAATCAGTTCTTAAGCTACCTTTTTCCATAGAGAAATGAAGGTCCTTAGAACTTATTGATTCTAAATGTTTAATATCCACTTAAAAAAAGTTTCTCTCTTCTAAAACTGATCTCATGAACTAACTGGCATGATTCAGTTATTTTGGTGTTAAACCTCTCATCAGATAATAACATTGTACAATTTATTGGCATTTGAGTTCTGTTACTTATCATTTCTAAATTCTACTTTAAAAATATAAAGAAGAGGCTTTAAGTTTATCTCCTGTATATTCCAACATTTAAAAAGTCTAAAGTCAAAAGTAGAATTGAAATAGGAAAATTTAAGTTTGGTAGGAGAGTAAAAATTTTTTAATTGGTAATTCTTGAAATTTTTCAAGACCTTTTTTTATTTCTGCATGAAAGATAAGTTTCTATTTTTTTTTTAACTTTAAACAGTCAAAGAAGATAGCAAAAGAAAATTTTCTGAAACATGCTATATTTCAGTCTAGCTCTTAACCCTAAGTTATACAATGAGAAAGGATTAGATCCATGCTTGGTGTACTACACCCCTTGGTAGGTACTTCTTTTGTATTTTACACTAAAAATAGCTGATAGAGCTGAGTGTCTGGGATGAAAACTTTTACGATATTTCCTAGTTTAAGCTTCATAAAGTCACTGGTGGTGTATCCATACATGAACCTAGGAGAGTTATGTCCAATTCATTCCACCATCTTTATTATTCCTATTCCTTTCCCTTTCCTTCATTACCCTTTGTCTCATCCACTGAACTTCTATTCCTCTCCCCTCTTGTGCATTATTACATATCAGAAAGAACATTTAACCTTTGGTGTTTGGGGACAGGCTTATTTCACTTAGCCTGATGGTCTTCAGATCCATCCATTTACTGGCAAAAGTCATAAAGTCATTCTTTTTTATGGCTGAGTATTGTGTCTTTTTAATCTCTTCTTTATCTACCTACCTTCATTCTATCAATCATCTATCCATCTGTCTATGTAAACATACAAGCCTAAGTAAATTGAAATAAATCTACCCAGGGTTCAAAGAATAGGAAATGAGAAACTGGTTACTAGGTATAAGATGAGTAAATCTCTCACACACACACACATAAATGCTAGGTGTGTTGAACCCTAATTTTCCTCTTTGTTGGGCAGTAATAACACCTTTCTCTGTGGCCATTAGAGAAGCAGTAAGCATTACCCACTGCTGTTGCACTGAATGTAGGGTTTGCACATGAATTAGTAGGTAGGCAATCTGCCCATTGTTCACACAAATGGCCCAGTTTTTCTTGGAGACTACTGCATCCAACAGGGATGAATAAAATGGGATGTAAGCTGTTAAATCTAATTGCCACAGAGAGGAGCAGTGAAGACAGTGTTTGGCGGAATGTTAGGATTTTAAATCCCTAATTGTCACTTCAATTCAAATATAATATTTTCACTAATCTTGGCTCTAAAATAATTAGTTATTTCATAGATTTTTACTCGTATTTCACTTTAGAAAACAAGGATCCTATTTATACCTCTATCCTTTAGTCAGATGAAATAGTTTAAAATTGGTCTTGTGAGATTTGAGTTCAGTTTTCAAAAATCTGTCAAGAGCTATTCATTTTATATTACATTCTGATCCAGGAGAGCATCTCTGGGTACATTTGCAAATCAGGCCATATTAATCAACTAGAGGTAGAATGCAGAGAGCTCTCCAGCCATTATCTAACTATAATAATCTTCATTCACAACAATGTTCTTTTTATAATGTTTATGATGCTTCTACATTATTAGTATCAAAACTGAAATGATTTCAATTTGAAATTCAAATTATTTGAATCTAAGGTATGAATAGCCCAAGTTATGTTGTAAGAGTATGTGAAAAAATGTTTATTATCTAAACAGCTTGGTGTTTCAGCACATTTGAGAGTTCTGCTTCATGGGCAGAGATGTAAGTAAGTTAAGGTAGGTGCACATGATAAAGAAATTAAATGGATGCAAGTATTTCTATCCATTTCTTCCCCCTTGGGAATTGGAACAACTTACTACGGATTTATAATAAAGTGCAGACAGAAGTCTGTGGTGAGCCAGTCTGCTGAGCTCTTAATGAGGTTACAAGCTCCTCCTATCTCAGATCTACTGAGGCTCTTGCTGGTTTTGCCTTGAGCTTGACCCATAGGACCTCAGAGGCAGAGGAGTCAAACTTGTCAGAAATGCGATTGCCTTTTCGGTGTGGAAATTGGAAAAAAAATTAGAACAGGACTAAGAGAGGTCAACAACTGTTATTTCTTCACATTTCAGAATGTTATCCCTAGAAATGATGACATTATTTTCCATCAATTAAGAGAACCTACAGTTAAAATTCTCTATACCTGAAAGACAGTAATAGCAGACCCCATTTCTTTGTTTGAATTTCAAACTCACTTATCCAGATCTGAGAACTTGGACTCTCACAGCTGGGTATTAGATCCTAATATCAAAATCTGCTGCCAAACCACATGGGATCAATGTTTAACAACAGAGAGAATAAATGATGGATCTTGGCAGGTGTCCCAGGCAGTACACAAAATTCACATCAAATTACAAAAGATGATGAGTAGTCTGATTAAGATTAATTGCCTTTATTCACCTTGATTACTTATTGTTTCCCAAGCATTTCTTTCAGAATAGGCTAATTAGCATACCTTTGGGCTCCAAACAGAACAAAACCCAGGGAATTATATGTGAAAATCACTAGTGTTGGATACTGTCTCTTTTCAAGAGGGTACTAAACAGCTTGTGAATAGTACAGATAAACATCTGTTGGCAATGAGCTGCCTGGAGCACAGGTCACTAGGCTCAAAATGAATTGAAATTATCAGGGAGAAATTTACTTGCAAAGATCAAACACAGCATCCACCCACCTCTTCGCAATATTTCAGGTCAACTGACTTGCCATCACTTCGAACACAATCCAACATCCTTGTTTTAATGCCATTTCCACAAACTGCCTTCTCACTCAGATGACATGTACTCCAGTCTGAAAGGAAAGAAGCCCATCAGAACAGAAGGCTATGCATGAAACAGATTTCAAATGAAACTCTGATGACCTGAATCCCATACTTAATTCACAACTGCTTCCTAAGCTCCACAATCAATCATGCCACATGCAGAGCATATGGGTCCCAGCTTTGCACATATCAGGAGTCAAATGGAATTGCTGGGGTTGCACATTGCTGCGGGGATTATTCTTCAAGGCAGATGTCTACTTGACAATCTTGATAGCTAGCCGTTTGGTTTGATGTTGTAAAAATGCCTTTGGCCTACTGATCAATGTCACTTAAAAATGTTTTTTTTTCCCCTAATACAAATAACATTTAAAATTTTAGCATTATTTCTATTTTAGCAACATTATAATTTTAAATGGATTGTACTTTGTATAGGTATATCATATAAAACACTATGCATTTCACTTGTTGTCCATACTTAGAATAATTTAAAATACAAACTTATTTATTTAAAAAATCATTCGGGGCATATGTGTTTAATTCTCTAATTTTATAATTAATTAAAAAATAATTCTGTCACTTCCCCCCCACCTCAGGCTAAATGGTATGTGTGTCCCAGAGAACTTTGATTATCTTTGTGTTATAAAGGAAATTGAAAATGAAAATCAAAAGAAACAAAGAGCCAATATGACAGCTACATGTTATGGTAAGATTTCTTGAGGATTTCAGTGTGGAAATTATCCAGGAAAAATTCCAAAATTAGTTTTGATGTTGTTCCAAATCATATGAACCAATGAAATATTTTCTTCATATATGTGTCTTAATGATATTAAATGAATTTGAGGGGAAATGAAATTTATAATGCCTATTTTTCTGAAAAATATTCATCTATTTCTCTACTTTTGACAATGCTAATTTATATTCTTTGGCCAGGTTAAGACTGTTGACATTTTTATATAAAACTAATTATGTTTATAAATGATCCACATACCCCAAGTATTGTTGCTACAGTTAATTATAGCAATTAAACATCTTTTGCAAAAGAAACATATCTTTTAATGCATCTGATATCTGTGCTAAAAATATTTCTTTTAATTACACCTTCCCACAGTGGGAGGATGTATTAAATAAGATGGCTTAGAATATTCACAACCTACTTTATGGGCCAAGGTCTATGTGATATTTTTATTCTCTATATCTTAATGTCTACTAAAAAATAAAACAGATACATCTTTCTGTCATTTAACAACTAATTATTTCTGGGAGATAAGTTGACATCCAAGAAGCACACAGATGGACGTCATCTACACTGATTGGCATGCCTCTGAGCTGGCAGAGGGATTTGGCCTTTTGTTCCATGGTGAGGTGGCTACCCCATACCTGTTACATTATAATCATAGTGGTAGCAGTTCTTGTTCAGGTTGCAGGGTTCCTTCTCCACAGCATTTGGGCAGGATCTTCCTTCATCAGCAGGTTGTCTGATGGGATCTGCTGACCTTTGGCGGAAGCTGCTTTGATTGCAAGGCTTACAAAGAACAACAGGACTCCTCAGAATGGTGAACTCTCAGGCACAGGACAGATAGCATATTAGGGAGCATGCTGGGGCATGAGAACATTTGGGACACTGGCTAACTTGAACAAATCAGTTAATCTCATCATGCTTCAGTTTGCCATGTAAAAATGAAGGTTTTGGTTGTGTTTTTGAAGTTCCATCTAGCTATAATATACTTAAGATTCTATGTGTCAAATACTGATAACATATTCCAAACACATGAATATGCTCACATTTATTAATACAGAATGCTAATATAATACACACACATAAATTATCTGTACACACACACACACATACTTCTTGAGGAAACACTTTAAGGACAACTTTATCTAGAAATCAATGGCTTTTGTTTTCCTAATGCATGCATATACATGCACACAAATGCAATTTAGCTTCTATAGAGACTGGCTTGCTATTCTACGGACTGGTACAGTCTTCTGAAAACATTTGATTTCTAAGAATAGGAAGCTGCTAAGGACAAGTTTCTTTGAATTTCTTTAGACCAAAATGAATTGCTTTCTCCTCCTCTGCTCCCATTGTATTTGGCAGCACCACTGTTTGTATACAATGTGTGTGTGTCCTGTGTACAGTGCAAGTACATTAAGAAATCTTCATCTTATTTATCTATGCATTCTCTATACTTAACATAGTTTGTCAGAGACGGCAATGGTTAATCACTTTTTGCTTAACATAGGCCTACATGATGGAACAAGATACATTAAAAATATAAAACCCAAGAAATGCAGCTATTCAACTAGTTGAATTTTATCCTCATTTCAAACATCTATTGGCATAATCTCAGGAACATAACATGTTTTGCTAACTCTCTTTTACATATGGTCACTTGGTCACTTACAATAGAAACCAAACGGATATAGTTAACAGTTTAATAGTTCCTACGGTTCCTACGATTAGAATCTCTGTTAATGAGTTTAAGATGCAGTCAAGGTTCAACATTCCCTATTTTGTAAAATGGAATATTTTTGCAATAAGATCTGTGACAATAAGAATCTCACAATTATTGACACAGTGACACTGTAGCGGGTAATCCAGGTAATTGACATAACTTCATATCTAATGCTATAGAATTGTTATGATTTGGAGGTGCGGTGTCCATGTGCAGTGTCCAAGTTCACATGTGAGACAATGCAAGAAGTTCAGAGGAGAAATGATTGGGTTATGAGAGTCTTAACCCAATCAGTGAATTAATTCTCTGATAGGGATTAACTGAGTAGTAACTGAAGTGGTAGGGTGTGGCTGGAGGATGTAGGAATTGGGGGCATGGCTTAGAGATATATATTTGTATCTGGCAAGTGGAGACCTCTCTCTCTTCTTCTTGATCATCATGTGAGCTGCTTCCCTCCACTACACTCTTCTGCCATGATGTACTGCCTCACTTTGAGCCCAAAGGAATGGAACCAGCCTTCTATAGGCTAAGACCTCTGAAATTGTGAGCCCTCAAATAAACTTTACCTTCTCTATAATTGTGCTGGTTGGGTCTTTTATTCACAGCAGGGAAATTGCTGACTAAAGCAGGAATTAAAGGGGAAATTAATTTGTGTACTTTTGTAAAAGAGTTGATTCTTGATTGTACTTTAACCTGTACTGAAGTCAACTGTTCGCTGCTGCTATATAAGTTGGTTATCCATCAGCATCTTGAATAATGTTAACACTGAGATGGAAAATCAATTTCTCTTTGGAAAACATGCACTAATAATTTTACATATTACTGTATTTCAATAAATTAATTCCACATTGATGTAAGAAGGTTCAGAGGAGAAATGATTGGGTTGTGAGAGTCACAAAACCTTTACCATGGTTTTGATGCTAGTTTTGAATGATACAGCTTTACAAAGGTACCCAAGGATAAGCCAGGTTTCCTATCTAAGTAGCCAATGCTGTTTAAAATGACTCCCCTCCTGGAGTACCATGGTAGAGCCCCTATGGCTATTGAAACCCAGGAGCTTGTGTGATTTGGAACTCTCAGCTGGCTTTCCAAACACAAAGAGACACAGACTCAGTGTGTGGAAGAGACTCATTGATATGCAGCTTTCTTTTTTCTATTCAGTTTCTTGCCAGGTTCTTTTGCTTTTTAGTGTTAATACTGCTGTAGTACCCCAATTATGTGAACAATTATTCCTATGATTTAAATAAAATGCACTTGGCAAAAAGCAAAAAATGGCAATAAACTGAAGCCATTAAAATTCCTTTCCAAGAGCTTCATTCTTTTCCCCTTTTACTAACAGGAATCACCACCATCTTATCTTTTAACAGGCTATGTATTTGTAAGCAAACTGAAAGCATGGAGTGCTGAGAGACAAAGTTGGGTCCAGAAGGAGCAGGGGGCTTGCAAGAGGTGGAGCTATTTTAGTGAGAGAGGAAGTACTGCTGACCTTTTATAGAACAGTTATAGAGTGAAGTGGCCAAGAAAACACACCTTACTTTGGTAAAAATGGCACACAAATAGATTTTACGCTGTCGTTATTATCGTTTTCTTAATATTTTTAAAGCTCTAGTGTTAAGGGATTAAACAAATTCTATTTTAATAATATAATGGATCTTCTTACCAAAGCACAACGGGTCCATGGACCCCATTCAGATATTACGCAGTCCTCAGGGCAAGGTAATTTGCACTCTCTGGAACCCAGAGGCATCTCTTCTGGGTCACAGAGGTAATCCTCCACATGTTCAGAAGGGCCATCTGCTGTATTCTGCATGCATCTAGAAGAAAATATATAAGTGAAGAAACCAGTGCAATTAGATATTGGCTAACCCAGGGGACAGATGGGATTCCTGAAGACATCATCATGGGGCGGGAAGTTTTGTGTCTAATGAGTCACATTCTCCAAAACTGAAGACTTAAGAGGATCTCTGCCTCCCCAAATGTTGTAGTACTTCTGCATAATTTAAAAATATATGGAAGAATTTACAATTTTGGTATATCATTAAAAATAATGGATTCTATAGAGAAGGTGGAACTCATTCTTTATGCAGGACTAGGCACGTGGCAAATCTATACAAGAGGTTTCATGATGTGTTTTCAAAGATAACTAGAGGCATTTATCAATTTGTTTTGTCATTCTAAAAGTAATTTTAGCCTCCCATCTGCTGCTAACCTGAAAAGAAAGCCAGAAGAGAAAGGACAATTATAATTGCAAAAGCACAAATTCCCTAAATCTGGTTATTTGGATCTTCCTGTGTTTTGATATATTTTTAAATTGTTAGTTTTCTTTTTAACAAAACAAATTCAAATCTTTTTATTCCATTTTATTCTACTGCAAGCATTCATGTAGGGTTCTTTACTCTTGGGAATGTGTCTTCATTTCTACATAGTTAATAATCTTTCTGGCCATTTTAGTAATGGAAGGGAAAAAGGTTCTCTCTCATCTATAACTTGGAAAAGGTCAATCAAATTAATGGGTTTGGAAAAAGAACTGCATCAGAGGAGACGAAAAGGAAGACTTGAGCTCTTAAGCCTCTCAGCCCACTGCAATGTGTTAAGCTGTCCATTGAGTTACATCACAAATTATACCTTGAATCCAAACTTTTCCTAGGGATTTACAACCAGTAGGAACATTGCATCTTCACAAATCTGCTTTTCAGAATCACTTTTAGATAGACTGCTGCCAAATTTAAGAGAAATGTCCTTTCGTTCAAGGACTGTAAAACTGTCATTGGTTATGTCTTAACTGAGTTTGTATCCAACTTCTGCAATTTTTTTGCATACTGAATAAAAATATAAAAGCATATGAAAACATGTAGAGGTAGATATTTGTATTATTTCATTATTGGAAAAAATCAAATTATATATCCCTTTGGAAGAATTTTAGTTTCCTATGAAAAAGTCTACCTTTAATATCATTTCTAAAGTGTTTGGAGAGGTTACAGGCAGACAAGGCATTTCTATGCTCAAAAGTTGTATTCGGAAGCTAAGAAAAGATCACAAATTCATTGTAGGTACTGACACAACGCACAAGGATTAACTTGTAAAATTACCTATTGATCCATAGCTAAGAACAGATGTCCAATACTCCATTTAGTAGTTACATACATAAAACTTCATTTTCAAAGATTTTTCTTCTCCTTTAATTTTTTATTACATAAAAATATATTCATTTTAGGAAAATAAGAATAATAAAAATTCTCATAATTCCATCACTCACAGATTATCACTTTTAACAAAATTTATGTATCGATTAATGGACTATTATTTTATACATATATTTCATTCCACAAAATGGGAGCAAACTTTCCCTACTATTTGTTTGTATCACTTAAGAAAAGTCAATAAATTATAAACATCTTATGTCATAAAATATTTTTCTCAGATATATTTTAATGACTAAATTTGAATTCCATTGTTTGAATGTTCCAAAATTGCTAAAATACCCTTGTTGTTTGCACTCAAACTATATAAAGTTTTTATTTTGTAACAACAATTTTTTAATCACCCTAGAATACAAAATAAATATTTGAATCAAGTTTTGAGTGTTGAAGGCAGGCATTTTAAATTCTGTTAGAGTCTGTAAACAAGTCAGGATGGCACCTGGCATTTTGCCAGAGGGAGTGGTTAATGTTAAAGTCCTTAAACAAGTCTGGATGGCGCCTGGCAAAATGCCAGAGAGAGTGGTTTGTGAAGTAATGCCAGCGAGCCATTAAGTGTGGAGATTCCTTATTGGTTGACTGCTGTATCTAGTTTATGTTAATTAGATAAGCTGTGTGGAATGGATAAATACCCCTCGGTCCCTACAATAAATGGCTCCCATTCCTGCTGTATCAATTGTATCAATCTACACAAGTTGTTCCTCACTCCCCCCCCCCCCCCCCCCCCCCCCCGGCTATTTTGCTGCAGCCGGACTGTGGCAAAATTCATCCATTTTCTTCAAATACTTAGCCTTACTTTCTAAGCAGTGAGAGTAACATTGTGAGAATAGTGAACTGTATTAGAAATCCATAATGTGGGACCAAGGGACTCAAATGAAAGAAGGGGTCAGAGGCTCACAACAGTAAAGGTAACAAAATCTGTTTGGTTTGTTTGTTTATTTGTTTATTCATTTTTTAATTGTCATCATGTGCTGGAAAATCTAAAAAAATGTCATTGAAAGACTACCCCTTCCTACAAAGCAAACCATTTCTACCACCCATTCTTGATAAGCCACTCAATCCTAAAAGAGGAATACTGAGACTAGATACAGTTAAACCTGCTCCTTTATAGACTCAACTATCCTGAAATGTCACCCATGTTTGCAGTTAAGCAGGACACTGTGACCTTAATTAACAGAGGATCAAGTTGGGGAGGTGTACCACTCAATCAGTAACAAATAGGAACATTATTACACAATCAGAGATCACAGTCAATACTGACCTCCTTCCCTATTTGCATCAGAGATGTTTACTCAAAAAACAAATTGATCTGAAAAGTTACTTTCTTTCAAGAGTATTTGGAAATGTTGAGAATATATGTTGCAACACAAAGAGAGGTGAAGCACATACAGGTAGTTTAGGGAAAAAAAAAAACAGCAGTTCTTCTGTAATTGAATATATTGTGTTTGTTTTACTAACAAATAACCAATTGGATCAAATTCTTAATGATGCTCGAAAACTTGATCCCAATATTTGTTCTGTATTATAGGGTGATATAAATTGATTTTATTTATAAAAAATAAAACATATATAGTCTGAATGCCAACAAGAGTGTTTTAGCAATTGTGGCACATTCAAGCAATAGAATTCAAATGTAGTCATTAAAATATTTTAAAATTTTGAGATAAAATTTTAAATATGGAAATATAATGATAGAAAACAGAATCTCTTATTTCCTTATCTATTAATTACCTCCCTATCCCTTCTCCATCTCCAGTCAACCTTTATTAAATTCCTCAGAGAAATATAAATTGAGATTTCAGATGTGCTTTTGAAAATAAAATAGAAAATTATTTACTAGAAACCAAGTTACATATTGGTTTATATGTGAAAGTTTTATGATATATATGTTCATCTGTTCTACTTTCCTACTGAAACAGATTAAGAAACATCAATCAAATTCATGAAAAGTTAAATTATAGGTAAGAATGAACTTCATAACATGTATTGCCAGGTTCTGGATTTGTTTTTTAAATTTGTCTTTACTGTGTTTCTCTAAGCAGGGTTAGAAGAAAGATATATAAAGAGAGTGACAGAAGACTTGAGTTTGAATTCAAACTCTGTGTCTTCACTAGATGGATGTTAGTTACTTAGAACTTTGGAATCTAATCTATAAAATGGAGATGATAAAACCTCACACACTTGTTCCCTAAGATTCTAGAACCCTTAACCATCATATGACAGATGCTGTATGGAAGAGTTAATGAATATCAAATGTGTGTTAGATATCAGGGTATTTATATTCTTATGGATATGACAGTCTTTGGAGAACCCCATAGAGTTCAATAAATACAGCAGACATGTAAATGGATCTTTTCAACACAGGGATATGTGGGGTGCTATAGAACAGAATGACATTGCCCAGTGGAACTTTCTATGATGACAGGCATATTCTATATATGTACATCAAACAGATAAGCCACAAGAGACTGTTGATTGCTTGAAATATGGCTAGGGTGAATGAGGAAATGCATTTGAAACTTTATTTAATTTTCATTAGTTTAAATTGAAATTGAAATAGATACTAGTGGTCAACCTACTGGACAGCATGGCTAAAGAAGAGCAAATGAGAGGCAATCCAAGCCAGGACTTGCAGGAAGATGCTCCCTAGATGACTTTAGAGTATTCAAAATAGCTAGTTTCATAGAAAAGAGCAATAATTAAAAACAGATTATTTTTAAAAATGTGCTTAGAAATCTATTTAGGAGAACAGTTATTTGGGCTGAAAGTCTGCATTAGTTCAGCTTGCTTTCAATGTGCTTCTCTTCAAGTGTATCTCAATGTAAAATGATTTTTAAGTCAGAAAACGAGAACATAATGAACTGCTGCTTGAAGCAGATACTCTTGAAGTTTTCCATGAACACAGACTCACTAAGAACAAAAGACAATTTTATCCAGGGTACTGGGGAGGTGTGAGTACTCATTGTAGGCACATGTGAGACTGGAAGATGGTTTTGTCTGGCTTCTCTGTGCAATCAAGTTCAGCCTTACCTCACTTTTCGGGTTTGCACACCCTCTCCACAGTTATCCCGCATATTCACGAAGGTCACCTTGCAGACGCTCCATGGCTCTGTGACCCATATGTACTGGTTGCAGTCACTGTGGCATGGGACAACCTCGTACACCTAAAATACACATGGTTCTCAGTTGACCTCAGGGAATCCAAGAAGGGCGAGCAGGAAGATCATCTCAGCAGTGCTATCATTATTTCATTGGTAAGCAACTTCCATTCCTCCCTCTTATTGTTCATTATTTGGAAATAGAAACAGAGGGAGTTCCATGAGCATTCTGATAAAGGGGAGGGCTGGCTGGGTTGCATTGCTGTTCTTCCATTGCATGGTCAGTATAGATCTGACTCACTGGACCAGATTCGATAAGTATTTTCCTGTACTGACCCCTCCTCCACTGTATTGTAATTTTCTGGAACATTTGTTTTGTTCACAGTTTTATGTGTCTTTAATATTTAGCTCAGCCTGCTTATATGTTAGGCACTCAATGAGATTTGTCAGATAAAATGAATGATTGGATGAAAAGAGTATATAAACACCTGTTTTCCAAATACATATATATTTTAGCTTGTTTTCCAGATAAATACAGACAATAATGAGAGTTGCATTTTTTTTTTGTTTTTCATACAGACAGCTAAATTAAAAGATAGATAACACAAAATAAAGCCATCTTAAGGCTAATCTTCACTCTTTTAGAATTTGGAAGCAAGGTCTATAATTGGGATCATATTATACACAGCTAGAGCCCAAAGCAGTGAGGGAACAAAGAAAATTACCCATTCTTGGTTCCATAAAGACATTCAGCCCCATGGATGGGGGGTGATGTTTGGTTTCAGGAATTTTTCTACAATGAACCAATTATATAGTGCTCTCAATGAGAGAAATAACTAAAGAACATACATGGACCATAATCCATTGCCACCAAGCTGATACAACCAGTAAGAAAAAACCTTTTAAAATATTTTCATAATCTGTGACAGTTCACTATATCCTATTTTACACACACACACACACACACACACACACACACACTTCAGATAAATGTTTTATGAACCTAATTCTAGAAAACACTGAAAACCTTTTGGTATTCAGTTTTTGTGCAAATTGTATTGCATTAAAAACTCACTTAAAAGTGAGTGAAGTGAATCTATCCTAAATAGGGATAGAAAATATGCATTGTAGGAATAAAACTGATCACTTCCACAAGTCACCACGTTCACGTCTGGGTGCATATTAAAACAGGACTAATATTAAACACTGCAACTCCTGGGGAAGGGGAAAGTTAAAGGGGACCTGCTGTTCTTCTTAATCCTTTGATGGCTTTCATTTTTTTTTTCTTTTGTTTTGGTACCAGAGATTGAACTCAGGGCCACTTGATGACTAAGCCACATCCCAGCCCTATTTTGTATTTTATTTAGACATAGGGTCTCAATGAGTTGCTTAGCACCTCACTTTTGCTGAAGCTGGCTTTGAACTCACCATCTTCCTGCCTCAGCCTCCCCAGTTGCTAGGATTACAGTGCACCACGGAACCTGGCGATGGCTTTCATTTTAATGTCCTTCTTTGAAGTGAATAGAAATCAGTTCAGAGTAACCTCTAACCACCCATGTTTGGCCCATCTCCACCTTGTCCCTCTCTGAGATGCACAAGAACATTAGTAAGAGGTATCATTGCTATGTCAAAGTGAGGTGAAGCTTGTTCCTAATTCCCCTCAGGCCCTGACAATAGAATGGGGAAACACAGGTAGCTATGCTAGGAAATATAAAAGGAATAGGTAGGGGAAAAATTAATGAAAAACATATTTCCTTCTGGTAAAACATAAAAGACAATGGCAGGAAAAGAAATCAGGAATTTTTAAAAAGTACTTTGTTATGAACCAAGAAGTTTAACTTACCTGTGCCTAGAAGCAGCATTCAACAGGAATGAAGAAAAGGGAGAGAAACAAAATAAAAATATCAGTATATTATGAAAGGAACTCATGGTCTAAATTTCAAGTATGATTGTTTATATATAAAAGCTTATTTTTTTGGTAAAGGATTAGAACATTTTTTTCTTAGGCTATAAAAGAGAAAAACCAACCACTTATTATTGCTGAAAAGTAAGGTGTGCAAATGAGACTTGCAGACACACAGCCAAGGAAAGGATTAGATGATCAGGATGAAGAAATCTCAGAAAGCAAAGTCAACCTCAACACACATATCACAGGGAATTGACATGTTATTGAAAATATCTTGTGATCCAGCTTATAAATGAACTAATATCTGCATATTGATCTATCTATAAACCCATCTATTCATTGATCCGTCTTAATCAATAATCCATCTATCTTTCAGGAAATGAAGATTTGAAGATTTTGTTCCTCAACTGGAGAGTGGTACCTTAGAGACCATTTTATTTCTTTGTCTTTTTTTAGGTTGTTTTCTTTTTAGCTCTCAGAGACCATTTTTTAAAAGTTGTTTATAGACCTTTATTTTATTTATTTATAGGTGGTGCTGAAAACCATACCCAGTGCCTCACACATGCCAGGCAAGTGCACTACTGCTGAGACACAGCCCCAGCCCTCAGAGACCATTTTTAAGTCAACGGATTGCCTTTTATTTTATTGAGTAACGTATAAATCTAGAAAAAAATCTATAGTATATACAGTTTCTAACATTAATAAAAGCTTTGCATATTCTTTACTTTTCCTAAATATTTTATTAGTGCATGTATACCTAGAAGTTTCTATTTTTTATGTAGAACATCTGTGCTCAAAGTCACATGTTCAAAAATCTATTATTTCTTGTTTTAGCTTTGATTTTTTATGTTAATCTTGATATGCCTCCAGTAAGCTGAGAACAAGTACACAAATGTCCTATTAAATTCTGTGTCAGATTACATCAGAGATGAAAAGCAACAGCAAAAGGATTTCAGGCTAAAATACTTTTCATAGCAAAGACAACATTGCATGAGGCCTTGAATCTTTGGAAATTTATTATTAAAAAAAATGTTGAGGGTAACAAAACTTTTTTAAATTGCAGATCTGACTAGCTGCAAATACACATACAAGCTCTCTAATGTGAAGTGTATACAAATATGTGCAGAATTTCTTTATTAGACCATGGATGATAATTTATTAAAATTTAAATTTCCTATTGAAAAGTCAAGTTTTCACAACTTGTAGGGAAACATTCTTTTATATTATAAACATTTCAGTTTAATTATTCTATTTCATATCTATATAATTAAAATCATGGAATTCAGTTTTCTTCTTTGGAAATATTCTCTAACCACTGAGAAATACAAAATGCCCAATGACAGTGAAGCTCAACTACCAGTAGGTGGCAGCAGTGGAGTATATTAATCCCCTCACGAGAATTTAAGGAATATATTCAGCAACTTGATGCTTTGAGAATACTTTCTGTGGAATTGAATTCTCCACTATCTTCATCTTTATTTATTCAAAAGGTTTTTTTTCTGTTTTCTCTTCAGTGTGATTCTATTGTTATGAACAAATTTAGGTTAATTTGGAAAGAAAAGCATGTGTACTGCTGAGCTGTAGGTTTGGAAACTAAAATTAGGTAGTTTATGTCTGTATGAAACATTTCCACATATCTAAGAACTTGATTAATTTTGTTCTGACTTAAATTCAAACACACATCAGTGCATACTATATGAAATTCATTCTTTCTTAATTCACATGTACAACAAACATGATAATAATTATGATACATTAATTTACATTAAATTAGTCACAACTCCCTAATTATCCTGTTTATTTTTTATTTCCAATAGAATATAGATAGTAAATATTGATAGGAGATAACTAAGTGTGCATCCAAATGCTAATAAAACTTGAAAAAACTTTAAGTGGCTACTAATGATATTGATAAGTGTATTCACAGTGGCTTCAAAGCCATCTTTATATATATATATTTTTGGTACTGAGACTGAACTGAGGGGCACTGGACCACTGAGCCACATCCCCAGCCCTATTTTTTTTTCCCAGCCCTATTTTGTGTTTTATTTAGCGACAGGGTCTCACTGAGTTGCTTAGCACCTCACTTTTGCTGAGGCTGGCTTTGAACTCATGATTCTCCTGCCTCAGCCTCCTGAGCTGCTGGGATTACAGGCCTGTGCATCTTCATATTTTTTTCCCTCAACTTATTTTATGTCAAACAAATTTAAGTGGATTAACAGCATAGTTTTCCTAATTTTAGACCTACACCTATATATTTTCTTCAATTTTAATTTAATCAGTTGTAATCGCGATGTCTTTTCTGAGAATCTAGGAAGATTGTAAGGATGGCACAATACTATCATATGAGTTAGACATAATTTTATGACAGTTCAAATACCTTGACATCATTTCAAAGATAGGTATTACTTTTGTCTGCTGAATTTTATATCCATATCTGTGCACTTGCAGGAAACTGAGTCCCAGAGAATTCAAAGATAACATATCTAACTTGGGATTCTATCAAGGTATGTGTAATTGACTTAGGCATGCTGAAGATTAGATGGATCAGATTTCTTATTCAGGACCTATTATTAACTGTTGTCCATTTTGGAGAAATGACAGATCATTCATTGTGAATCTAAAACATATCTCAACACTCTTGATAATATGAAAATACCTGGTTGACATGGTCCAGTTTGGGGCAAGGTCTTCCTCCATTATATGGTTTTTCACGCAGCCATTTAGAACGAACCTTCACACCACTGCCACAAGACTTACTGCAGCGGGACCAGTTGGACCACTCGCTGAGCTTGCAGTCTGAGGGGCAGGGGATGATGCAGGCCTCTTCAATGTATCCTGAGTGGATAAAAATGAGATAAAGACCATCTCCTCCACTTGCCACTCTCCCGTGACTACCCACGGTTCTAGCTCATTTAGAAGGTCCAAGTTTGATTTGACAGCAGCATGCAAATGCAGGGATGTTTCCATTGTTAGGGGCTCAATTAAATCCTGCAGGAAAATGACACATACATGGAGCGACTCTGTTCAAATAACAGCTGAGCAGATGCCATATGATCTGCTTAGGATTTGTGCTCACCATATTTCAACATTTCTGACTTTCTGACAGCTTTCTTGTTTAATTGACAATAACCTGTCTGCTGCCATATCACTCTCAGGCTGCCAGAATGGTACATTAAAAAAAATAGCCCATAACACAGTTTTCTATAAAACCCTATCTGTTAATGTCACACAAGGTCAGTTTTTGAGTCCATGCAACATTCTTCCTCAAGAAGAAGAGCCAGCCCCTCGCAATCAATATCTGAAAGGGACCATTTAACTTAGCACCTTATGTTTCCTTTTCTTTGAAAATAAAATCTGAAGAAAAATGAAGGATGTTAAATAAATAATGCCTCTTATTTTTACAGTGCTGTCAATTTCAAAGCACCTTCACATCTCATATCCTTTTGGTTCTCATGAAAAAAAAATTCTGAGAAATGTACTGGGCATGTATATGGATAGTTAGTGACCAGAAAAGAAAACAACTGCAGAGAGATAACTGACAGGTCCAAGGTCACAGAGTAAGAGATGGGAAAGGTTTTCTGGGGTCTGGTCCAATACTCATTCCATCAAATCACACAGTCAGTTCAATTAATGGTCTACAGATTTGTTTTGGGAAATGGGAATATTTTTCTTGAACAATCCTTCACTACCAACTTGGCATGTCACATATCAAATCATTACTATTGTTCTCAAGGCAAATATGTGGAAAAAACAAAATTCCTCTGGTTAAGAATCAAATTCCTAATTGTCCCCCCTCCTCCATAATTCTGACTGTGGAGACAGGTCACTCCTGGCACAAGTCTGTCTTATCAATTTGCATCAATAGCAGGGATTTGGTTTTGAAAACAATTATAAAATAAATAATTTATACTAGAGAACTCTGCATAGCTTTAATTTTTTTTTTTGAGATAAAATTTATTTACCACAAAAATCAGCTCATGTGTTTTGGCTTTTAGTTTATGTACTGAGTTGGATAATCATTACCACCATCTAATTTTAGAATATTTTTCTCACCCAAAAAGAAACAGTATACTTATTGGCAGTTAATTCCTATTTCCCCTTTCCTTGTCCGCTACTGATCTCTAATCTACTTTCTGTTTATATGAAATTTTCTATTCTGGACATTTCATATAATGAAATCAAACCAAACATTGTGTGTTCTTTTGTGATTGGCTTCTTTCACCTAGTTTAATTTTCTTCAAAGTTCATCTTTGTTATAGGATTTATTAGAGCTTCATTCTTTTTATGATTGAATACTATCCCATTGTACGGATACATCATATTTTGTTTGTCCATTGATCAGTTGATGGAAATTTGTTTCTACATCTTCTCTATTAAGAATAATGCTATGAAAATTTGTGTACAAAGTTTACAGGGACAAGTTTTTATTTCCCTGGGAGTGAAATTGCTCAGGAATATTGCAATTCTATACAGTATTTAATTTTTTTTTTTTAATCCAGAATTGAACTCAGGGGCACTCAACCACTGAGTCACATCCCCAGCCTTGTATTGTATTTTATTTAGACAGAGGGTTTCACTCAATTGTTTAGTGCCTGGCTTTTGCTGAGGCTGGCTTTGAACTCTTGATCCTCCTGCCTCAGCCTCCTGAGCCACTGGGATTACAGGAATGTGCCACCGTGCCCAGCTTAGTACTTAATTTTTAAAGTACTAAGTTTCCTAAAGTAACTTTAGTTTCCTAAAGTTACTGAACCAATTTACATTCTACCAACAATATGTAAGTATTCCAAACCTTGTCAAACTTACTGTCTAATTTTAATTTTATATTCAGTTATGGGGTTTAAACCCAGGACCTTGTGCATGCTAGGCAAGCACTCTACCACAGAGATACACCCTGAACCCTTTTTATTTTAGTGCTTGCTGAAGAACAAAAGTGTGTGTGTGTGTGTGTGTGTGTGTGTGTGGTGGGGGGGTTGTGGCTGTGGCTCAGCGGTAGCGCACTTGCCTAGCATGTGTGAGGCACTGAGTTCGATTCTCAGCACCACATAAAAAATAAATAAAGATATTGTGTTCATCTATAGCCAAAAATATTTTTAGAAAGTGTGTGTGTATGTGTGTGTGTGTGTGTATGTGTGTGTGTTTGGTGCTGGGGATGGAACCCATAGCCTTGCACATGTTGGGTGAGCACTCTACCACTGATCTACATCTTCAGCCCCAAGAACAAATGATTTAAATGCTAATGAAGGCCAATTTAATTTTTCTTTCTTTCTTTGTACTTTGGTATCACTTCTATGAAACCATTACCTAATCTAAGGTCATAAAGTTTTACACTTCCGAAGTGACAACTTTATAATTTTAACCTTAATTCAGGTATATTTCATTTTCAGTTAATTTTGTATATGATAATGGTAAAGGCCAAATTTATTCTTCTGTATGTGGTTATTGACAATGTCTATAACCATGACATGACACAGTCTCATTCTATCAGGTTATTGAATTATCTTGGTCCCATTTGCTCAAAATTTATCCTTTTCTATTGAATTGCTTTAGCATCCTGGCTCGAAATTGACTTTAGATATAAGGCTTTATTTTTAGGCTCTATATTTCATTCAATTTATCTCTATCTCTGTTCTCATGCCAGCACCATATTGTCTTTACTGTAACTTTTTGCTAAGTTTTGAAACAGGAAGTATGAATCTATTTTATTCTTTGTCAAAATAGTTTTGATTTTTTGAAACTCTTATATTTTCATGTGCATTTTAGAATCAGCTTGTAAATTTCTGCAAGGAAATACAACTAGGATTTTAATAGCAATTGTTTCAAATCTGTTAATCAACTTGTGAGCATTATTGTCTTAACAATCCACGTACATGAAATTTCTTTCTATTCATTTGGTTTTCTTTAATTTCTTTCAATGAGTTTTTTTGTAGTTTTGTAGTATATAACTCTTGAATTTATTTCATTAAGTTAATTCCTAAGTATTTTATTCTTTTTATTCTAAATAGAGTTAAAAAGCAACAAAAAAGTATGCATTTCTTTAATTGTAGGAAAATCAGACTACCTTTAAACCAAAATGCCAAATTTAATCTATAAGCTTTTGAGCAACTTTTCCTGGATTTAAATTGTGCTTAAAATGCTAGCCAACTGTTACAATTTTCCTAACTCTGCCTAACTATAAATTACTTAGGAAACTTCAAAAGTATAGGCTTCTACCACCCTCAGACATTCAGATATAGTTCATCTGGGATAGGATCTGATTTAATTGATTTTTTTTTTTTTTGGTCAAGATAGTTGCAGATTCACATGTAATTGAAACGCTAATAAGACAAAAGTTCTTTGTAGATGTTTTCCCAATTACCTCAATGGTAACTAGAGTATAGTTTCAACTAAGATACTGACAATGATACAGCCCATTAAGCCTATCTCGGATTCACCAGTTTCACCTGTACCCATTTGTGTGTGTGGAAGTGTGTAGGATTGAAGTTAGGGAATACTCTTGTAAGACACAGGGAGAGCAAATAAAATCTGGAAGAGAAATAGATTTGTGGCATATCTTTATATTATCTCCCATATTTTGTTAATGATATACATTATCTAATTTAACTTTTATTATAGTCCCTATACCCAAGAGAGCATCTCTCCTTGGTATAAAGTTCACTGGGCATGTCATGAACTAATGACCCAACAACCTCTATTGTGTTCACTTCTGATCACTACCTTTGTTTTTTAGGAGGGCAACTGATATCCTGACTTCTCACAATGTAGAATAGTTTTACTTTTTAAATTTATGTAAACAGAACCACAGAGTGCATACCCATTTGTGCTAGCCTCCTTTCACTCTTCTTTGTGATTCGAGATTCATCCATGTTGTTGCACTTCTCGAGGATCATGTATTCTATGCAACATTCTATTGTGTGAAAATGCTATGGTGCATTTATTCATTTTGTTATTGGTGAGTATTTAGGCGGTTTTAGCTAAGGGGCTATTGTTTATAGTGATGCTATGAACATTCTGGAACACAACTTTTGGTAAACATAAGAATGCATTTTTTTTTCTGAGTATTCTTAGGAGAGGAACTAATGTGTCAGAGGGTATGTATCTTAATCATCTTATTGTAAGAAAGTATAAAATATTTTTAATGGGATCACAAATTTGGTATGGAAAGCTGATTGCAATGAAAGAGTTTTTTAAGAGGGGATTAGTCCCAAATAATCTCCTGAGGGTAGACTTGCCTGTTGGGTTTTATCAGTTGTGAAATACTGAAGATAGAAAGAAGATGCCAATGTTGAGTTTTGAATGTATTTCTATTATTGAAGAAGGCTCTGAAGTATTGGTAGTGATCTAGAGGAGAGTCCAACAAAGAATTGAAGGAATACTTTACAATAATGTTCACTAAAATTTTAAGAATCATAGGTATTTTTCAATACATAATGAAAGGAAGATCAGTAGAGTAGAGGCAGAGGATCAGGGGAAGGGAGTAGGGGAGGGAAGAGAGTAGTACTAGGGATGGAGGAGAAAACTATGTCATATACACTTATAAACATGTTAAAATGAATCCCAATAGCTCTAGCGCACTAAAAAAGGATCATACTTTGACTTTAGTTGTGTTTTGAGATTGCAAAATAAATCCCCACTCCCAAATATTTTTAGTTGAAATTTATTTCAAGTACTATTTCCTTTATTCTACACCAGAGCCAGTAAATAAATTTCTTTAACATAGTATGAGATGCTTAAAAAACAATTCCTGATTGGGCCAGTAAAATTTGTCTTAATTATAATAGCTAAATAAGTGGAATCAAACTGTAAAAATGTCTAAAGTCATTGCCGAATCAATGAGA